TAGATAGATAGATAGATAGATAGATAGATAGATAGATAGATAGATAGATAGATAGATAGATAGATAGATAGATAGATAGATAGATAGATAGATAGCAATTAGCTGCATTCTGTGAAGCTCTTGAGACATTTTAATGCTTCATAACAGCAGAACTTTAGCTTTTGTATTTTTAAAAGTGATGACAGTAAGGCTAAACATCCTCACAGCTAGATCTTACCATCAACAGTTAACTATTCATTACTATGACAATATGGTGCAAACAGGCACCGAAGTTGACGAGCTCTGAACTTCATGCTATCTTGAGGCAGTGTGTCACTGAGGATTTTCGACCACTCTGTGCACTGAAAGTTACCCTGTCTCCTTTCCCTTATTTAAAATGAAAAAAAGTACTATGTGTTATAGATTCCATAAAGATGAAACTACATTTCTGGGATTGACACCCAGTAGCCCCGCAGTAAGTGATTGTGCCATTATCCTCATGATTCGTCTGAACTTGTTGTTGCAGTGTAGTTTTAAGTGCATACAGGGTGGGTTAAATGTGCTGTGTGCTTGGCCTGGCTCCTGCTGTCAATCAGCAGCAGTTGGTTATTCTTGTGGTAAGAAATCATTTCATCCAGGCTGTTGAAAGTCTAAGAGAAAGCAGAAGATAAAGAGAGAAGTGTGATTAAATTATGCCCGGAATTCTTCATAGGCTTCAGTAACTCCTGAATTTTTATATCCTGCTTTGTCTTTTCACCTCTTCGTTCTTTTTTCCTTCCTTTCCAAGGGCATAGGCTTTAGTTTCCACCAGGAAGCGAATGGGAACGTTGTACACCTTTTGCTGGTAAAGCACGGCAAGGGTGTAGGGCTGGTGCGTGCTCTGGGCAGAGCTGTATCGGATGAGAAAGGCACCGTCCTGCAATAAGGAGAAAGGGAGGAGAAGAAGAAAATCTAATAAATAAAACTAGATGTAAAAGAACATCTTAGGAAACCTTGACAGATATGAAAGAATAGTCAAGCAGGCTACAACTAAAACTGATAAATGGATGAATCGTGGAATGAATTGGGGGAATGTAAAAAGACTCTACATGCATCAGGGAGAGTAAGTGGAGGAAATGGAAAATAAATCACTGCCATGGAGCCCTGAAGCTGTCTGACTTAGGTTTAGCTTTCGTTTGAGTTTTATGTTTGAGTGTCAGCGAGACATACCATCATTATTTTTTATATCACTTTAAAACTACCAGGTTTACCTTGTTGATTCTCTGTAAGAGATCCTCTGCTGTCTTTCTGTTGCAGTCACCAGCAAACCATTCTCTATCCTGAAATATAAACATACAGCAGATATATCAATAAGAGAATCAAACCCACTTTAATGCAGGATTGTTTATATAGTATAATCACAACAACAGTCTCATGAAGTCACTTCAATACTGTAAGGTAAAAAACTGAAAGTATTCAAGGAGGGGCAGCCAATCAGCTGGGAGGTGAGGGGAAAGACACAAAAAGAAAGTGAGCATAGGGAGACAGAACAATGTGAAGTATAAGTGCATTTACTAACCTTCTCTACATGAGGACGAATTTGAACTATACTATTTACTAAATCATTACATTTCGTAGTAAATATTCTACTACATGAATGTGAAGTTTACCAGTCATTTCTCAAATTAAGATTTTCTGTCTAAAAATGTTTCTCATGCATCTCAAACATCTCAAACTTGGTTAAATGTTTGGTTCTTATATAACACTTCTCTACCTGCGCACCTATAAAACATGTCTCATATATCTATTGAAATTTGCTATGCGTAGATATTTGGGATTGTGTCTCCTTCGATAAGTGAATGTGTAAACCACTACACTAAGAATGAGATACATATATAGAGAGATTTTCTTTTTCTTAATAAGAGAAATTGTTTTGTTTTGTTTTTGGGGGTTTTTTTGGGGGGGGGGGGTCTTTTGAATTCAGGATTTTTGATTTTCACATCATTGTATAAGTACTTTTAGCTAAGTTACAGTTCACCTCTTACCTCCAGGCTGTTATGTCTGGTTACCCTCATACCACCATAGGAGGCTTAAAACACATAAAGATAAGTTGTTTGTCAAGCACAAGTTCATGGGAAATCTGTATTTGGCAACAGTCAAATTTTTGTTGGTTGTTTTTTGTTTGTTTGTTTTGTTTTTTCTTTTTTTTAAGTATGATGAAAACTGTGTTTCGATTACATCAAAGTGCAAATATAAATATACTCAAAATGATCATCAGTCGTCCCTTTGGATTTAATAGAGACTTAAAAAAGAAAACTGAGCTTACCCACAGGCTTAGTGTCTGGTATTGGGGGATTTGGAGGGCTGAAAAATAGAAAAGAAGGCTAACATTAGACACTAACTTTAATTCTGACATGCACACACTTGCAGGTCTTGTGGATGGGGGTCAGCTCTAGTGATAACCTCAGGGTCAGGTGCTGTGCCAGAAAGTGATAATCCACCCAAAAAAATCATTGCCTGTATTTAAGGTGTAAATTATTTGTTGGCTTACAATCTGTGAAATACACATCAAGTATATCTATCATTAACGAGATAAAGGCATTCTGAGCCTATCACAGGTTAGAAGTATATAAAGAAGTTCTAGAAGTTCTATAAAGATGTGTTTTTGTGTAGAAGGGAGTGGTTTGATTGTAATGTAGGTATAATAACCCAGTGTCATAACAATACGTGTAAAATGTGTCATTTCTTTACGTTATATATAATCCCTTCATATACTACAGTCTATACTAACATAAGCAATGACATTACACTTAAAAAACACATCTGAAATTACTTTTTGGCACAACACTAAAGAAATGTCAAAAATTGCAGTTCCTTTAATGGCCACTTGAGGCTAGCACTAAAAGTGAGTGAATCCCTACAAATTCCCAATGTAACAGCAGAAGCAAGCAGCGATTTCCTCATACAGAACAACTGTAAGAAAAGAATAATACTTTCTGCGAGTCCATTAGGGTCTCAGTGATGTAAATTTCATCATCATACAATTATGGTGTTCCTGAATAACTTTGAATTTTGAGTTCCCAGTTGCAACTGAAAGTAAACAATAGTAAAACCATAAAACGTTTGTGTATTTGTGACTCACTAAATAAGCCATATGCATGCTATGCTGTAATGCTAGTGACACATGAACAGCTCTACCTATCTTAAGAGCCAAAGCGGACATAAAAGAAGTAAAACAAAATCACCAGACATGCATGTGAAGCTGACTTTGAAGGAAAAAACCACCCAATTAAAGTGTTCCCAGAATGTTTTAGTCACAAGTTGTACAATATATACACAGTATATATAGATGCACAAATTCTTTGTATTTGTCAGCTCTTACCTGGCTTTAGGTTCCTTCAGGATTGCTGGCAGATGCGGCTTAGCACCAGGAATTGGTGGAGGGGGCTTTGCAAAAGTGGGACGTTTCTCTTCTGCCGAAGGACCTATAGAAGCAATGTATGTACTCCTTATATCTTTTGACTGTGAGCTGTCTGGATCTATTTAATTAGCAAGGAAGATGTGGTTCTGACCTCTTTTTCTGTCCTCTAATGGAGGCAAAACAAAATTCTGGAAAAAGGGAATAAATGTTACTGCTGTGTCATACCTGTAAGTTTAATTTCAGACACTGGAAATGGGAATATGGGGTAAGAATTTAAAACTCATCTTGTATCCTGACAGCTTACTTTAAATCAGGACCCAGCTTAGCATAAGAAAATTAAAGATGAAGCACAGAGATTAATAGACACACTCACAGACTTATCTCTGGGGATTGAAGGCTTCTTCCTGCAGACAGTGAGAGGGCTAATGTTTATTGCATATTTACTACCAGGACTTTAACACATAATTTCCCTATTATAAATACCATATTTGCATAAAAAAATGCACATGATTGTCTAGAATGCACAGCTATAAAGACATATTGTATCATAGCTTGCCAGCAAATAGGATGAAAGCTGCTTTGAAACAGAGTGAGATGAACTTACAAGGGTATTTGAGGAGGTGCCGGTGTCCTGGGAGACAGAGGCATCTTCATGGGCCCACGCGGGGGAGGAGAGCAAGCTGGAGAGAGGGGGGAAAGTAAAAGTAACTTCTGGTTTTCAAACACTTTCATATAAACTTGTAATCAATGCCTCAGAACTACTGCCTATGTAGTGTGTTTGAACTTACCTGCTTCTGGTTCTAAATAAAGGTCATCATCATCATCGTCCTGTAACGCAAACCAACAAATATGATATGCAAAGGGGCATTAACCTTCTCCATACAGAAGAAAACATCAAATTACATTCATGCAGCTGTGCAGGTATTATTGGCTTTTGGTATTAGTGACTTATCTAAGATTTAATGTTCATGTAAATGTTTATCTAGGCATGGTTAGCTCTGTTGCTTCACACTAAGACAGTCCGGAGTTTGACTCCACCATCTGACCGGGACCTTTCTGTGTGGACTTTGCATGTTCTCCCCATGTTTGTGTGCGTTCTTTCTGGCTACTACAGAGAAACATGCAGTTAGTGGGTTTAGGTTATTTGGTGATTCTAAATTGCCTATGGGTGTGAATGTGCGTGCGAATGGCTGTGTCCTTTGACACACTGGCGACCTGTTCAGGGTGTACCCCGCCTCTTCCCCTATGGTAGCTGGGATAGGCTCCAGCCCCAGAATACCCATCCATCCAGAAGAAGATGCATGGGTATTGGTACATTTATGTAGTTGTTGGTGTAGCAAAAGACAACTGACTGCTTATAAAAGGCCCTTAAGAAACAACAGCCCCCTCTGAGTGCAGACATGTCGTGGGTGACTCCTTGCACCTCCCACACACACACTCAAACTGACACTCTTTTGTGTGTATATTATTACACACAAAAGAAAAAGAAAATATAATAATGTTTAAGTCACCGGTTCTTCAGTTGGATCCAGGTACACATCTGAAATGCAGAAAAAAAGACTAGTGATCTATGTTGCCATATCACAAATATACAGTGGTGATGCTTACCAGCATGTGCACACAGAATGAAGCACCTATTCAGTAAGTAATTAGAATAATCCTTAACCTCCTAAGACCCGAACTCTTCCACGGCATGCATTTTTAATTTCTCTTTGATATTTGGGCATATTGGGGCCCAATGAATGTAAAAACAAAGAATTATCAGATTTTTTTTTTTACCTTATTTTTGTTTTTAAGAAAAATAAGAGCCACATCTGAGGATACTTATTTAAAATTTTGATAGAATAGTAGCAGTATAATGTCCTTGTAAGTGGATATCAGGCCCTTGCAGAGCAAAATTGAGTATTTTGGTCTAAATAAGCCAAAATGTGATGTCCACTTATGTGGACGCCAGGTAGGAGCTTAAGTTAGTCGTCTGTTTACGACACAGCACCAGCAATGAAAGTGACTACCACAAATCTATTTACCTATGTAACATACTTAAAATACGCAATATTCAAATGAAAAATAGGCCTGTTTACATTTTCAGATTTTTTTTTTCTACTTCACTAAATATTAGCATCAACATCCTGGTCGTTTTCCCATTTTACACAGCAATCAGTGTCAGCTGAAGCTCTTCGTTTCCATAAGAGATGCATCAATTCAAACTGGGGTGAGAAATGGAAAAACCCATTCTGCTTAAAAGCATTTTCCCAACCCAAAATTATTAAAAGAAAACACCGTATGTAATATGATTTATATAATACTGAGAAATATCTTTATATTTGAGTGAATGTATTTGAGTGTAGATTGAAAGGAAAAAAAACTGAGATATTCATCATTTTGAAATGCAGAAGATTGTTCTGAGGCCTGCAGTTTTTGGGTTCTTGCATCTTATTTTGTAATGTTTAATATGCAGCTCAGTGGCACTACAGCAGGTGGCACTCTCCTCTTTGTTTTGCTCACAGCTCCAAATTATGTTGCTGCTGGAAACATCAAGCAGAGGCTACAAGTGTTTGGCAACCTGAGTTTATCAAGCAGCTTTTGGAAATACCACATGGCTAATAAACTCATAAACATAGTATAGTCTTCATTAATATTATTATTATTATTATAAGAAGTAGTAGTAGAAGCACCCATATCACCCCTTAAAGAATCTTCCTCACAGTCAGTTTTCACTCAGTTACACTCTGGTGCGCTCTTCCTTTAAAATAATATTTTGTGTTGGTGCTGATTACCTTCCTCTACAGGGACTGTCTGAAGCGGCATCATCTTCCTCCCTGGCTTATCACTTCTAATGACCTCAGGTGCTGGAGAGAGATAAATGTATTTATGTGATTCATTAAAGTACACAAATGAAAGCGTAAAAATGTAGGGGGGGAAAAAAGGACTGATGAGATTTTAAAAAATCATCAAACAGAGCTGAGTTACTTACGTTTGCTGATGGCATCCTGCCGTTGCGAAGGTTTCCGAATGAAAAAAACAGTTACAACATGGTAAAACATCTATGTTGACAGGCACAAAGAAATAGACCCTGAGCTTTTATTACCGAGGATTTGCTTGGTCTGGGTGGAGGTGCAACCTGCCTCGGTGTTACACCAGGTTTGGAAGTCCTCTCTGCAAAAAGCAGAAAGAATTTCAGGGGAAAAGACCGTGTTTCACTGTCTGCGGTATCTGTGCTGAAGTTTGCCAGACTCAGATGTTACCCAGATAAACGTTCTCCTCCACTGCTCTCGGTGGCACTTTGACAGCCGGTCGCTCACAGGGAGGAGCTTCATACATGTCGTTGTCATCATCCTGCCGTGAGAAAAGGTTGGTAATCTTAACAATCTTAACAATTATTTCCAAACAAACTATAAAACTTTAATATTTTAGCAGTATGGCTGCCATGAGATAGACTGCTGTTCTGTTCAGTGTGTACCCTGCTCTAATATTGTAAAGCTATTTAGTTTTATCATGATAAAGCATTGCTGCGTATTGTTAATATTAAGACCGGGATGTCTGCTTGATTGTGCGTCAGCTCCCTTCACAATACTTATTGTTTTTGGCCTATTCAGTACTTAAATCCTGCCCCTAAAAATGCCCAAAACTTGAATGAAAAAGTACAAAAATTTAAGAACTTGTTCTGTTCCTACTTACAAATTCGTCCTCCGGCCACCCAAATGCTGCATTGTTATCTGTAGGACACAAGCATATATGAATGAACATAAGAGATGTACAAAAGGCATCAAAGCAGCTTTAATAAAGTGAAAACAAATCCCACCTGTCCTCCTAGGAGGAGCTGGAGGTCTGAAAGGAAGAAGGGAGAAAAGACATGGACAGAGAATACTTTAATACAATAAGCATTTAGCAGGAAAGAATGAGAATGAATGAGGTTTCTGTCTTGGTCATGATACTCACAGGTTCTTCAGTCTTCCAAAGAAACTCTGAAAAACACCAGAAACCACAGAAATTAGTGAACAAATACCCAGATTTCATGAGACGAGTAGCTGTCTCTATGTGACACAGCCCATTATTCTTAAACTGCATGCTTAATGATTTACTTTCAGTTACTTATCAGCTTCATCTATCTGTCTGAGTCAGTTTCCCCTCTTTGGATAAGGTCACATAACAATGGAGCTTTATTTGGTACAGAAAAGGAGACAAAAACACAGTACAAAATAGCACCTGAGGTATCACTGTATCATTTTACACAGGATGTAAATACTTCAAAATGTTTGTAGGGTATGTTTTTGTGGTGTAATTTACTCTCAGAGATATATTAATCTTTTATCTGCCAATATAATATATGAAAACACAGTAGGATAGGACACAGTTCTGTAAACAATCATATAAGAATATCTATCTTTTAAAACTTCCCAACATTAAATAAAATACATAAAATTGTCTTTTTGCAATTACCTATAAGCGCTTTTACTGACAAGCATACACTATAAGACATTTCCTGTTTTTTTCTGTAGACATTAGATAATTATTATATGACATAATTTGCTTGATAATCTAAAGCTGGTTTTTCTTCTCTCCTGAAACGTGCCTCCTTTATTGTCCATAAAGCCCATGATTACAGAACACCTGCTGTATTCACTGTTTCCACCACCCTAAACATAAAGTCCCATAAAAAAGAAAGTTTTCACAGGGCAAGTATGAGCAGCTCTGTAAAAGCAGAAGTTTTGGCAATTTGTTTCTTTACAGTTTTCACGATTGTGTTAACACAATGTGACAATCTTCCCAGACATGGATGTCCCAGCAAATTCACTCCAAGGTCTGACTGTGCAAAGCTCAGAGAAATGGTCAAATCCCAGGAGCTACATCTGTGACTCAGCAGGTGTCAGTTTTCATGACACAGTACTATCAAAGTTTATAACAGTACTATCCTGTATCGTATCCTATGATGCACAGTGCCACATTTGGGAAACCAAACACAGCACATCAGCTCAAACAACTAACTGCTGCAAGTGTGATGATTTGGGTTCGAAGTGAGTTTCAACCGTGAACAGAGAGGGTGCTGACAAAAAAAGAAAAACAAACCTGCTGCAAAATCAACAACTTCAAATTCAACTGACATTTACAGCTCCCCACATGGACAAGCAAAATAAGTTTTTTTGGTCACATTAGACAAAGATTTAGCAATTTGGCCACAATATTAGGAAGGACATAAAGGTGAGGCTTTCAAAACTAAGGACACTGTACCACCTGTCACACAATTTGTTGGAATAATAGAGAATGAATTCTTCAACTTCACTCCAAATCAAACAGCAGACAGTTGAAACTTGGTTAAGTTGGATGTTCCAGCAGGGCAATGATCCTCAAAACACAACAAAACTGGTTTTGGACTTGATAAAGCTAACATTGACCTTCTGATGGCAACCCAACTGAAAATTTGTGAGCAACACTTAAAAGCAAGGTCTGTGCCAGGAAGCCAGCTAGTGTAGATAGACTCTACCAATTCTGCCGTGAGGAGTGGTCAGCCTTCCAGACAGACTATGCTTGGTGATGGTTAACAAAAGTGTCTGGTTGGCGTCCAGCTTGATTTGGAACATTTAACCAAATACCAGCAGGGTCTATCAATATTTTTATACTTTTGACCCTGTGTGCATTAGAATAAATTGGACTTTTTGCATCCAATTCTTCTTTTCTAACTGTGTATGTTATACAATCATTCCCACCTGAAAAAAGGAGCAGTTTTTAAAAAGCCAAAACTGCCATGGCATTCATGCCCATGATGAGGGTATGTCAACTTTTTCCAACTGTATCCTCATGAATGATCTGTCTGGCTTTTGTTTGCTGCTACATCTTATTCAAAATAAGCTTTGAAACAAAAGTGTACTAAAAATATTTGTGAAATTCAAGTTTATGTGTAGCTGTTTACAGCTGAGGTTACAGAAGACGGTGGAATTCACTACAAAAGTAATATCAGGAAGTTGAGTTCGTCCCAGTGCGTGAGGCAGCTGTAGAGGAAGTGCTGATGTAATGTAAATGATGATAAACAGGCAGGGAGAGATCACTTTCTGTCTGTACACACAACACGTCAGGAACCAGGTGTTTCAGTCCTGATAAATGGGGAGCAGGGGAAAGGTAATAAAAAAGGACAAGTAAATCACTAGTCAGCTATTCACGACATTCTCTCTAATCCCAAGCATGTCTACATGTTAAGGCTGAGTTAGGTTACAGTGACAATGCTAAGGTTTGTCTTAAAATAAGAGCTGTGTTAAAACGCTACCTGTAGATGAGAAATTTTATAAAAAGCGGAGCATTTGAAAAAAGTGGTGTCAGAGTCTGTGGGAGTAAACAGGAGGAAAGAGGAAAAAGTCGCACAGCTGTGGAGCGAAATCTGATGCAAACAAGGACTAGACACGCATTATTCAAATAACACACTATTCATCTGTTATCACGAGCAATTATATTTGAGAGGAATTAAAAAATACTTTTCATCTCAGAAACTATCTGCACAAACAGCTGCCATGAAATTTAACATTTGTTTAAGATGGAAAGATTATGTTCTGCCTTTTCTGTACTAGTTATATTGCAGTCAAACATCAAAAGCTGGAGCTCGCCTTTGTGTTTAATGTTTGTTAATGTACAGGAGAATGTACCTGCAAGAACTGTTTGCTAAAAGCAAGAGGAACTTGAACCCTGTTGAATCACATGTGCAAAGAGACTTTTTGTGCTGCCAAAGTACTTTTGTAGCTCTATGTCATTTATACAGTATGAGCAGATTTTATGTTTAGACATAAAAGAGTTAAACGTGCAAAGATTTCAGTTCGAACGTCAGTCGGTGTCTCTACAAGAACCTCAGAGAGAGTTGGGAACGTCTCCACTAAACTGTACAAAAAGATCACAACAACAGTCGTTTAATTTCTCTCAAACCAGGAAGTGAAACTGAAGCGCAAATTAAAAATAGCACCAAACCCAACTGTGATTCAGTGTTTGATCCAACAAAATCTAATAACTTCAGGAAACCATCAAGCAACACACAAACTTGTTTGATTTGCCAGAGGACATTTATTTGGTCGTTACAGATGCCTGCAGGTAAAAGTTTACCTTCAACTTGTCTCTAAACGCTAGTTTTCTGGGATATTTTCATTGTTTACCCTTTAAACTCTCATACAATCACATCTTTAAAATGATCTCTGCCGTCGTATCTTTCCCACACTCCGAACTCCAAAGAAGAAATGAAGGTGAGCTAAAAATAACTACATGGAAGTTTTACAGTGGGCCTCGACAACACCTGCTCGCTTCCTTCTCACTCCACCCAAAGTTATCAGACCATAAACCAAAATATAACAAACTTAATTAAACAGTACTTTACCATTTTCACGACTTGGGGACCCGTCTCACAGCTCAAGTCATGAGGATATGTCTTTGTTTCGGTCCTTGGATGCAAATGCTTTATAGATTAAAAGCGTGTGAGCCAGAGACCGTGTGAATCAGCTCTAGCTGGACTCATTTGCATTTCCTACCTGTAACAGTAAGAGAGACAGCCTCACCTGCTGCTCAAATGTCTGCCTTTAACTGACCTGCTGCACAGCTTGAACATGGCTCCAAATTTCCCTACCTAACAGTCATATAACCAACTGAAATTGCTGATTTGTTGCAGGCAGCAAAGGACATTCTCTTTGTATGCTGTAAAAATAAAATATTAACACAGTATATATGTATTTAATGAAGCTATTACTCCTAACTAATGATAGGACCTCGTTTAGCATGTGATGTTGAAGATGCTTTTATTTACTTTATTGAACCTCCAGGATCATAACTTTAGTGATGCCATTTCTTCTAGCACTATTATAAAAGAAAACTGTTGTGTTTTTTTAAACTAGGAAAGTGAAGGTTTAAATAATGCTTCGGTATGTTTTGATGAATCATCACTCACATTTGGTGTGTAGTAATACACTGGATTATTAAAATACAAATGCCTTTACATTGGTAAAAGTAAACTATACCTTGTAAGAGTAAAACATTACATTTGCTGCTCTAACATAATAAAATTGTTCCCAGTTTTGACAGTTTAAATGGATCTTTCAACCAGTTTTGTTACTTTTTCCATCACTTTATAATTTTATTATTGTCAAAGATCATTATTTCATTAGGAATACTTGAATTTCCATCTTCCAATATATGTTTGAATTTTGACTATGAACCTTTCTGACTGATAAATAATTGATTGGTAGGGTTAAAAAAAAGCCTTGTAAATCATTTTAAAGAGGATGTGATTTAGAAACAGGCAATGTTAGAGACATAAATTATCTCAACTCTTTATTAGGTGCACTTTGCTACTACTAAGACCCTCTTTTGCCTTCTGAAATGATTCAATTCTTGTGTCATAGATTCAACAAGGTGCTGGAAATGTTCCTTAGAGATTTTGGTCCATGTTTACGAGAATGAAACACACAGTTGCTGCAGATTTGTCGGTTGCACATCCATGATGTGAAGCTTCCATTTGACAGCATCCCAAAAGTTTTCTAATGGATTGAGATCTGGTTACTGTGGAGGGCATTCGAGTACAGTGAGCTCATGGTCATGCTCAAGAAACCAGTTTGAGAGTCTGAGCTTCATGACATGGTGTGTATCCTGATAAATGCAGCAACCAGCTGGGATTGGTAAACTATGGTCATAAGGAAATGGGCATGGTCAGCAACAATACTCAGGTGGGCTGTTGTGTTTAAAAAATTCTCAATTGGTACTAAAGAACACAAAGTGTGCCAAAGAAACAGCAGCAGCCTGAAACATTGATACAACGCAGGATGGATCCATGCTTTCATGTCGGTTGTGCCAAATTCTGACGCAGCTATCTGAATGTAGTTGAAACTCAGCAGACCAGCCACATTTTTCCAGGCTTCTACTGTCCCAGTTTAATGAGCCTGTTTCTACTTCCTAGTTGACAGGAGAGGTATCCAGTCCTGCTGTAACATTCCTGCGTTAAGGCTCCACGTTATACTTTCAGACATGCTCTTCTGCATACTTTGGTTGTAACAACTGTTTTTTAGGTTATTTCTGCACTCTAGCCTTTGATCTCTGTTAACAAGGCGTTTATATTGGGAGGACTGCCACTCACTGAGTTTCTCCTTTGTGGACCATTCTCTCAGCAGTTTATGAAATACTCAGACCAGCTGGTCAGTCACCAACAACTATGTCAAGTTCAAAGTCTCTTAAATCACCCACCCTAATGCTTGTTTTGAAGTTCAGCTAATAGTTTTGATCAGGTCTGCATGCTTAAATGCACTGAGCTGCTGTCCTGTGATTGGCCAGATCGATGTTTGTAGCCGTTGAACAGGTGTACCTGTTAGGGTGGCTGTCGTTATCTATAAATGAGACTGAACATACTTAATTTCCTCCAACAGAAAGAAAAAGATGAGCTTAAAATGATCTGATAAAATGATTTCAAATGTTATTTATTGACAATGGTATTACTGAATATGGTAGAAAGGCAATAACAATTATCAAGCAACAATAAATTATCAAGTGGCAATACAGGGATAAGTAAGATATTTAGATTTCTACAAAATAATATAAAACAAACATGAACATTAACTTAATACAAAACTTCTAAAATCCAGATTCTCACAAAAGACATGAGTTTCTTACAGATTTGAGTTTTGCAGTCAATAAGCAGTATACAATATATAATATACATGTTACATACAAGTATGGGCTCAGCCCAGGTGCAGCTGAACTCTTCCTAAGACACAGGTTTCCAGAATGAGGCAGTATTTCCTGTTACCTTCTCCCACAAGTTCAAATCTACAGCGCAACACAGCAGAGTGCCAAACTATTAAAATCTGCAAAAACAAGCAGAATCTGAACCAGCAGATTGTGGTTTGGATGAAGGCCCTTTTGTGAGCAAATGCAGAACATTTTGCATTAAACTAATTAAGTAAATGTATCTCTCAGCTATAAGACAAGTCCTCCTGACAAAGGACTTTAAAATGCCCTGTGGAGAAACATCCCCATGTGTTTCACTGTACTCTGCAAAGTAAAGGCCTATTTGAGTGAGGATTAAAAGTGCTTTTGATCTTAAGCGTGCCACTGTGTCATTTTGTATAAACAAGTATAAATCAACCACAAAAAGCAGAGGGATATCCATATTTTTTCCTATTTATCTAGATAGGTTAACTGCCAGTGCTCAGGGGGGGAAACAGCTTTAAAACCTCCCAGAAAGAAGGTAAAAAATGTGTTTTCAGTTCATCTTTTCACTTTCACACTGAAGACTGTAACGAACATAAAACCCAGGAGCACAAAAACTCCCGATTGAGGTCTTTCGTGTGTGTCTCTGTAGAAATGGCAATTATCACATAAGCTTTCTGTCTGGTGGGATCTAGAGCCAGCCCTCAACAGTCCAGTGGGTGTCTCAGTCTATCAACTTAATGATAAACATATTTGTTCCACCCTCTGCGTTTGGTCTCCAGCATCTCATTTGCATCTTCTTTTGATTTAAACCGGGTTTGCTTTAACTATGTTGTTAATCCAGTCAATGTAATTGGTGACACGGGTGTAGACTCCAGGTTTATCTTTCTGGCCACACCCATCGCCCCAGCTGATCACACCCATCAGAGTCATCCTGTCATTGTATCTGCAGACAAGCGGGCCACCAGAGTCTCCCTGTAATTGAATCCAAGAAGCAAATTTAAGGGAAAGTGTAAAGAAAATAAAAGTTATAATGTTATGAGCATGATTTAACTGTGAGGATAAGTGTGGGTGTTCTCACCTTGCAGGCGTCGTCCAGGCCTCGAGTGTCACCAGCACACAGCATGTTTGAGGTAACTGTGCGTCCAGACAGCACCCCTGGGACACAGCGCTCTTTGGGCCACAGGCGAACATAACCTCTCTTAACACGGTCAGAATACTCTGGAGAAACTGTGAAGAGAGCGTTGCATTAGTTTAGATTGCCTATACTGTCCCCTGCTGCTCAGATACTTAAAATGACACCAACTTGTCTGTGCGATAAGTACAGTAGTAGCCATAAAAAATGAAAAAAAGGCTATGATTTAGTTTTCTTACATTCTGCGTCTTTTCCGTAGCCTGAGATCTCACACTCAGTCCAGTCGGGCAGCACCAGCCCACGTTCGGGCAGACACGCCGGAAGAACTTCTGGAGAGTTTACAGCACAGATGCCAACGTCCGTCTTAAGTTTCAAAATAGCTGCAAGTGGAAAGTGACCAAAGGAAAGTCAAGGCAATGCACTGGGAAAATGTGGGATGAAGACTGAGAGTTGAGTTAAAGTTTTAACAAGCCTCTGCTGCCCACTTAAGCTTCCATATCATTACTGCTGGAGGAAAACAAGTTCACTAAAGTGTCTCATTCTGTTTTCATTATTAACATTGAAGTATGACTAAAGTAGCCTCAATTCTCCACACAAACAGTTTGACTAAGAGCTCTTTTTTTTAGTCTGGCAATGATTGTGTGCTTATAAAGAGGACCTTGGTGCAGCTTTTCAGGTCATGTTCTTAAAATTAGACATTTTTGGCCCCTTTCACCCTACCTTCTTGCAGAAAGTTTGAAATACAGTCGGGAGGGGCTGCTGTGGCTCAGACCAAATCATACAAAGCCAAAAGCTCAAAGATATGACCAAAAGTTCAATTGTGTATTTGTGTCTCTGGATTAAGGTACAAGCGATACCTTTCTTTGTACTGACTATGAAATTAATCTTAAGTTTACGCACTGTATTGAAAACCTAATTTGGGCTACAGGTTTACACTGCTGTGTTTAAAAGTTTATTTTTAAACTTTTATATTAATAAATGAAAAGTTCGAAACAAAGATAAAAAATATTGGATTATTGTTTCTGTTACAATGAAATGTTCACTCACCGATGTCATTGTCGTATGTTTCCTTGTCATATTTCTCGTGGATCCAGAGTTTCTCGACGCTGAAAATCTGCTCGCTGCTGGAGTTCTGTTTCCGAAACGTTCTCCCCAAAATTACTTGCAGTTTATTTACATCGTTTCTGAAAAGACAGAGCGCACTCGTTTGTTTGCTATATGGCAAACACGTTCGACTAGTGTTTAGTGTATGTGCGTGCATGTGTGAAAGCTGGAAGTCAGTGCTACCTTTCTTCAAAGCAGTGTGCAGCAGACAGGAGCCAGCAGGAATCAATGAGGATTCCTCCGCATAGATGAAAGTGCTTTTTGTGACGGGGTTGGTAAAAATTTATGGCCGCCTGCCACGGCTGCTCCGTGATTTCACTCGCTCTGCCTCCAAACATGCGGAACGATGGTTGGGATAAAGTGTTGTCTAAACGCTTGCCACATGTTCCTACAGAAGAGACAGGTTGGAGAATGATGGTTGAGCGACAGTAGGATTAATCGACACCCAGAAGGAGGGACTTTTGGTTATGTCTGAGGTGTTTTCACTGGCTGTGAAGATATCCTACCTCTGTTATTGTTATTAGTGGTGGGAGCACGCGGGTCAAGAGTGGGCATAGGCGGACGTCTCGCTAAAGAAAGGAAAACTATGGTTATCCTCAGTCTCAATATTTAACTTCTGTCTTTGCTATCGCTGCCAAATGAACTCATTGATGTAAAGCAACTCACAGCATTTTGGTACGTCGCACAGCTCCCAGGTCAGAATCATATTTTTGTAGGTGTGACACCATGGACCTGCGTCATTGTCTGGATTTCTGTTGAATAAAAAAAGAGATTTTTTTTTTCATTTAAAAGTAGAACATCAAATGTACTGCAATTATAAGGAAGTTAAAATAGGTGCTGGCCTATGTACCTGCAAAAACTGTGGCTGCCCAGTCCCAGCTCCAATGCGTCCATTCTCCAAGCATTGTACATCTTGCGCTTGACAGCGGGAGAGTCCCACGGGAGGCAGCGAGAGCCGCTCTTGGTGACAGATGCTGTGCCTCGGTATTGCTGGCCAGAGCCGAGCGCACATTCTCTGTGCTTATCTGCTCCAAAGAGCACATATGGACAGATGTATGTAAGCCCACATTTAATGGTATTTGATCTTTCTACATGTTAGGATTTTGTATATCTATACCTTCTGAACATCTGGGCAAAGAACAGAAGTCCCATTCAATCTGTGTGCCTTTATAGATGTAACACCAGGGAGAGCTGTCACCGTCAGGGTTCCTGACATAAGGAGAAACACAAAGACAATAAGGGAACATCTTCATAGCTTCCGTAAAAGGCTCGGATATTATGTTTTCCAGTCTACTCCAGTATTTGTTAACACCAGGCCACCAGCTTTCAAGACGAACAATCCCAGTCTTGTTATTTTTTATAGATAGCAAATGAAACATTCACGCAGACGCTCCAGCACAGGTACCTGCAGAAGTTGTGATTGCCCAGTCCAAGGCTGATGGCGTCTGTTTTTCGAGCCGTGAACCTCCTTCCTCTCAGAGATGTTGAGTTCCAGTTGATGCACTCTGCTCCTGATTGGCTGACACTCGCGGTGCCACGGTACCCATCACCCTGCCCCACAACACACTTCTCATTGGTGTCTGTTGGAGAGAGAAACAGACAGTGGTAGTCGCTAATTTATATATGAGACTGATATTAACGTAATAACTGGTCTGAGTAAGTTGTTCCGACATAATATGTCTTGTTCTTGTTTTTTTCAGGGGTTTTTTATATTTGAAAAAGCTGTAGACTATTAAAAAGCTTTTGGATAAATTATGAAAACATTGTTATTTCTTACATAAGGCTTTAAATTTGTGCCCTAATAGCATTTATATCGCCGATTTCCAATTAGTGGTTTTAAAACAGTGACCAAACATAACCTATGATGATTGTAAATGCATCAGATTTATAGCCTGGCCATATTAACTCGTAGTTTTTTTCACTAAAATCATTTGCCTGTGACTGCTGAAGTTCAGATAATTATTCCACTGAGAGGGTGGAGTGTCCTTCAAGTGATTAAAAGTGGGCCACAGAAACAAAAACATTCATATCCCAGAATGTCTTTCCATCCTTTATGATCCTTATGTCTTCCCTCCAAACCACAGGCCCATGACACCAGTAGTATGAGTCACACAGTCAGACTGTGATCTTATCAAGAGTTACTAACAAGCTTTAATCAGACCACCAGTTTATGGACACACCCAAAGTCACTGCTGCTTTAAAAGCACAGTACAAATCAATCGCATGTGTTTTGCTCCAGCCTGTAGTGCTATTTGCCTATTTTAGGTTGTTTAGGTGTGACCTGTCCAGTATTGGAGACTCTGGTTATTGAAATGTTGCTTTGTCCTAAATATAAGTGACACTCACCTTATGGGCCTCATAGCTGTAAACAAAAAAATCATCTGAAAAAGTCAGTGTCTCTTTCCAGAAATCGTGACTTTGTTGCTCATGAACATCTACAAATTTCATGTAAGACCTACACATTACACCTACAGGAGCTGCTGGGCCATGGAAACCCATGCCATGAAGCTCCTGGTGCACAGTTTTTATACTGATGTTAATACTGGAGGAGGTAGAAAACACCTGAATTTAAAGCCAACCTATAAACACCGATCATATAAACCATCGGTAGTGTCCATCTACCCATGATAAAAGGTGTATTCTTGTGACAGAAAGGAAGGAAATACTGAGTGCAACCACCCTTGGTTGAGCTGTGTTGCAGCTTCTTTGGTTTGGCAACCAAAATTAGTTATTACTATAAAGTTTTTACAACAAAGTTTGTGGATTTCTTTCCTTTTTTATTTACCATCATTTGAGTCACCTAGGTCACCAAAAAACGATTACTGGCGAGTTTTATGTTGAAAACTTGGAGTGAACTCTTCTTTAACAGCTTTTTCATTGTTGCTTTTTTTTCTGTTCTGTAACTGTAAACTGAATATTTGTGGTTTGGGATTGTTAATTAGAAAGAATAAGATTTTTGGCACTTTTGAAATTGAAATGAAAACATAATGAAATTATATTAATTGTTATTTTTATATCTCTGGTCGTTCGCTAGCTGAAAACCCACGATTTAGGTGTTTAGGTGTTTCTTGAATACTCACTGATCTCACACTGAGCCCCAGTGAAGCCTCGGGGACACTGGCAGATGTAGTCTGAAGTGTACACAGCTTCCTTGCAGGTTCCTCCATTATAACACTGAGACACGTAGCAGTCTGGAAGAGGCAGACAGAGCGCCGTTTAGTCAGCCACACGTCATCCACTAACAGTTTAAATAGTTAGTATATGATGGATGTGCCATGACCACTGCACAGATTGGGTTTGAGGCTTGTGTGTCATATACTACAGTGAAACATTGAGGATTATGCAAAAGTCTTTGTGCATGGTTCACCCGGACTTTCTTGTTACTTGTAGTAAATATCATCATAGTTTCTTTTTGAAACTTTTTATGTCAGGTCAAGGATTTCTCTGTAGAGCAGAAGTGGTTTCATGCCATCTGCAGTCCTCGTTTTCATTTATTATTTCAACATTTTCTTAAAGGCCGACGCTTAGAATAACAGCTCTGCTGTCACTCCCAGTGGTATGAGCTCACAGATGTTGCAGTTTGGCAGACTGAAAATGTGGTTGTAATTTGACTGAGGGAGGGGTAATCAGCCTTCACAGAATTCGTCAGTGGGGGTGAAAGTATGCACGAGGGCATGTCTGGAGAATCTAGTTCAAATAATCTCAGACTAAACGACGCCCACTCAAAAACACAGAAAACCCAGCAGCTCTTCGTTTGGATGCACTGAAATAACAGGGATTTGGACACATAACCGAGGCAAGCCAACAAAAAATAATCATTTGAGGTTATAACAGCCCGTTAGAGGTGAACTGAAGTTATAATAGAAGGCAGAGGGCAGTGAGGGCAGGGAAGAAGACTGACAGACAGATAAACAAATAGTACATTTAAATTCTGCTCAATGGAAACAAAACACTGATTAGAAAAGTCAGTCAGACAGTCTCCTTGTGTTTGTGTGTATGTGCATCCATGTCACACTCACTGATTACGGGCACAATATGACAACGCGCTCGTCCTCCTAAATCACAACGGCAGTACTCCACACGCTGCCCCTTCCATTGTAGCCAAGTGTCCCCAAAACTACGCACAGCAGACGTCTCACTATCCATGCAAAGTACTGAAAACACCACACAAACATAAGTATACAGCCAATAAAATGATAGAAAACACAGAAAAACATAACTGTCATACTGTTAGAAACATAAAAACACAGGAGGGAGGAACACAAACACGTGGCTGACAGCAAAAAATGAAAAGACTGATGATTATGAAGAAGAAGTTGGTGTTATAGAGGAGATGAACAAAAGTACAATGAGGCTCACAGGAGGTGTCAGTGGAAGGTGAAGACTTCTGGACATGAATAATCAAAAGCGTCCCTCTGGCTGGCTGCCTGTAAGGCTCACCTCTGTAAAAACGAGTCCCTCTCTTAGTGCGGAGAAGCTCCACCTGCAATAGAAAGGACCAGTAAAACATGGAGCAGACATGCATGGGAACTGGATGAACGGCTTCAGCCTCCAGCTCAAGCAACAGTCAGCGTATGAACTTTAAATTAGACAATTTAAAATAAAATGCTGATGAATGCTATCGCTAGTCAGTGGCACACTGTCATACAGCAAAAACACAAATTCAAACACATTAAATGGGCTAAATGTTTGCTCAAGTGGATAATAAACCACAGGAATTGGACTGTATTGAGATAAGCCCTTGTAAAATATGCAGGATTTTCAGTAGGTTGAAGACAGCTTAAGGTACTGTTCTGTAGTACTTACATTGTCCGCTAGGCAGCAGCAGAGAGCACAGAGGAGCACTATTAGTTGCAGTGACCTGGTCATGGTTTTTCCAGAGGTCTTCTGTTTGCTGGAGTGAGAAAACACATGCACATATTAGAAGCAGTTTTATATGGATATATGGATGGATCAGGGAATAAAACACAGACAAAGAATAGCATACATTGGCAGCTACGTGACTGTGTTTACAATGGTTTATGAGAAATATAAAAATTATGAATAGTCATTTCCTAAAGCTGTGAAATAGGTCATAAATAAAGACAAAACCGACTCCTTCTTTTTTCACTTTCTCTCAAAGTTAATATGTTCTTTGCATATCGAGACATTAACCATCGCTGTCATTGTCACTACGTACACACAGTGAAAACACTTGCAGCTGTGCAAAAACCGGAACAATTCAGATCACTTCAAATATTCGACATTCAGTCAGGTGACTGACTTGAAAGTGAGGTCATGTTCATGTTAATCTAAGCTTTTCTCCTTAATCTGTCACCAATACTAAGCCAACAATCACAGGAAAATGATGAACACTGGTCACCTCCTCCCAGCTGTACTGTAGGTCCTTCCTCCATCCCTAAGCCTGTTTCTGAGAGGAAAGGGTGGGGGTAGGTGGGGTAGCTGTGGGAACCTGGGGGTCATTCCTTGTTTCTTGAAGCCGAGCTGACTTCTTGACTCAGAGAGGAAGTTTTAGCAGCATTTGCAGAGCTGTCTCATAGGAAAGTGAATAAACTCAGTGCTGACCTATATTCAGTTCCCTTATTTTTACGTTCCTATGAGGCCATATCATCCTATTTATTTAAAAATTTACATACCAAAAAAGACTCTATTATCACTATCTGTCATTTAATCTACTTCTTTCCCATTGGGAATAAACAGGACACAGATAAAGTCTTTAAAAAAACTTTAAAAAATGAAAGCGTGATCGCCACATCAAACAACACAGTCCAGACAGCCCTCGAGCGATGAAACGCAGCACACTAGAAAAACAGTTTCTGAACCATCCTGTGAGCTTTCCTGCTCTGCCAGAGCAAAGCAGCAGCTGTGTGAGGACAAAGTGACTCAGAACTTCAAAGGGAAGTTCAAGGAAAAAACAAAAGACCAAGAAAAAGTAACTAAATTTATATTTCCTTTTTTTTGTTTGATATCCCACTTGCTCCATTTCTGTTATAGAAGAGTCTAATTATGCAGAAAAGTGGTAGAGAGGAGCATCTGTAGCTCCTCAATCAAGTGTGAGTAAACATGAGTCACAGAAGAAGGAGGGGTGAGTAGAAGCAAGAGTCGAAAGAAAGAAAAAAGGACAACACTGGACACAATTGACCTGAAAAGTTAAAAAATATCCATATAAAGAATTTCCATGTGATTTTAAAATAGTCCAAAAAATCTCTGACACGAACAAGCATGCAAAGACCCAGACACATCTGCATACATTTTGCCCTCTCTTCTCTTTTGGCTTGTTCTTCACTGAATCACCTTCTGCGGTTGACTGAGCTAATAGAAAACTGCATTGTGTTTTCATATATCAGTATATATGAAACACCCACACCCACACACACACACACATACACGCACATACACGCACAAAGTGCTCAGGAACGTGGAGCTAATCAACACTCCCACACACAAAGATTTAGTGTTCATTCTCCTCATTGTTTGAACAAAGACTCCCTCTCAGAGTTTGACTATGAAAACACAAATTCACACACTCACCATTAAGAACGCAGGTCTCTTGGAGGCTGTTCTTGACTCTGACAAATAAAAACCCTGTTGTCCTGTGCTGTAACCCCCCAGTGGAACCTAACTGGCAGGGCGACAACAAAACACTACTTTCTTTTTTGTTTCCTTTGTGCAGCTGTTCAGCTCAGTGCAGTCGCCCCTCTTTCTCTCTCTGGCCCTGTCAGCTTAAAACATGTGTTTCCTGCTATAACACAACCAGCACAGGCCCCATGTATTTAGGAAACGGGCGTACATATCAACACACGCAAGCACGAAAACACTTGCCGACAAACACTCATCGGATGTTAACATATGTGCATCCACCCTTTCTAGTATATCTTTCATGCGGAGGCCCACTTGGGGGCCATAAAAAAACAACATTCCTTTGGTAATCTTACAGTACAACTATATGTTTTTATATGGTCGGTTTTACAACTTTTAATGCATCTATGTGGATAATAATGCAGAAGCATGGACAAAAAGTCAGACATTTATCTGTCAGGCCTATTTTAATCTGTTTTTAACTAAAAAGTGGCTATTTCAAAAGGAAAATATCTGATATGACTTAAATTTAATGTTGTAATAATAATAAAAGTGTAAAATATGGAATCTTATTACAGTATTCCAACTAATTACAGATATCTATGTAGTCTTTGGTCCACTTTGCAGTAGCAATGATCTTATAACAGTTTATAACCCTAGCTGATCTAAAACAGTATCCTAAGCAATAAATAGCAGTAAACTCTAAATGAGACACAATACAGCTTTCTGGCACTGAGAGGCTTAACACACTGGTCTGATACACCCAGACTTTTAGTAGCTGAAACATGTACAACCAAGTATGCACTCTGTGGAGAGTGTGGTTCCCCCAGTTAGTAGGTCAGTTATGAATGGAAGAAATGAAAGCATTTTCAGAGTAGCAACAGTCAGACTGTGAGTCATAACAGCTGCTATGAGTTGCAGCACGTGAAAACAGCAAACATATGCAGCAGATGATAAGATGCACACAGACACAAACACGCACATAGAGCAGTTATGTTCATGCTACTTTGGTGTTTTTAAGGAATCAGTCTTAAGTGCTGTCCACGGTCTCTGACATCAGATTTTTCAGCAAAAATTATTAGCAACTGACTTTAAAAAGGGTCAGGCATGCTTCTCTACTAGAGACAAAGCTGAAATGTTAAAGTTAGAGACTGTGAAGGAACAAAGTTTACACCTCTGAGTGAAATTCAAATTTCTAGTACTTTGAGCATGTTTGTGGTCACTCTTCCCGTCTCTCATCTACACAAATATCACACTTGATACTTAATAAAGTAGTGAAGAGTGGGAGGACTGTTCACACTGGTGCACATGGGGGAATTAGCAGAAGAAACACCTTTACAGTGTAAAAATTTACAGTTGGTTTCTTACTGGTATTTCTCAGAAGAGGTTCTGAACTTTAAAGCGTTGAACAGGTCTGAACTGATGGTATTGCTGAATCTTTACCATACTTTCAGTAGGTATTATTCTTTTGAGTAAGAGGTTTGCATGTGTGTAGAGTGACTGTTAGGATCTGTCATGGCATGTGATGTCATGTAAGATGTTTCGAAGTTATTATGCATACTTTACTTGGGGGATTTCAGTCAAGCTTCAACAAAGCAGCTGTGATCTGGCTCCGTAAACTCCCACAGAACAGAGAGCAGCATTGTTGCCTTCCCTCTGTGTGCAATATGATACTTTGCAATCTTTATCGGAATGAAACCCAAGCTCCTAAAATGAAGAAATGCAGGTTATGGGAGCAGTTGCTGATGTTAGAAGTGGCGAGATAGTGGAATCTGAGACAGCTATGCAGGACAGGATGCAAGGATGAAGACCTCAGAAAGAAAATGAAGAAAGGCAAAAAAACGGTAGGGTGTTCTGGGGAATTAAATCCCAGAGGTCAGCAGAAAGAGAATGAATCCTCCTGAGTCATGCCAGCTCGAGGTCTGCAGAGACACATGTAGGCATTGATGTATTTTACATCCAGTCTCGAGGCCATTGTGTGAAGTAAATGAAGGTTTGGTCAGAAAGGAAGACTACAGATATATAAGAAGGCTTAAAGCTGTAAGACCCCAGGTGCTGATCCTATGACTCACAAACATAAGTGTAAGGCAAAAATCCAGCTGACCACACTGCCAGGAAAGCAGATACCAGTTACAAACTCTACTTTCTCTCAGCACACAGCAGTACAGATTATCAGTGCGATGGACAACATCAGCGCTGACAGATGCTAAGGAGGAGAACGCTCTCAAGAGCGCCAGCTCAGACGCAGATCCAGCTCATTAGCTACACTCGGCTTGGCTCAAGCTGGTACACAGAAACACATACTGAGGCATTGTGGAATCCAGCTTGATAATACACACACAGTCCAGCAGCAAAGCACGATATCACCATGTTTTAAAGAAGCTGTACAGCAATTTGTGTCAGTTTTGATTACGCAAATTGAAAAGTGGTGTATGTGATTTTAGACTCCCACCAAACTTAGCAGGTGGAGGAGGATGTGGAGAGCTGCTGAGGTCAGGGTGAGAAAAGTATGAGATGTTCCACATAAATGACTTCATAGGCTGCAAGATAGTTTTTTTTCCTCACACAGCTTACCCAAAACTTTTATGAGTGGTGCTGCAACGTGCATGACATTAAATAGACAAAGAAAAAAGTCACACCTTAACCGACATCCTGTATTAGCTGAAACACTTGTTAGTACAGTTTTGGCTGTTTATGCTGTACTATTATTCTAATTATTTTAATCTATGGCATTATATGCCAAGAGACACCTTAATATATCTCTATCACAAGACTACACACCAGTTAAAAAAATGTTCAGTTCCTTTTGATTGTTTTTTATAAAACATGATAATTAATTACAATTGACACGTTTAGTTGGAACCGCGCAAAATCCCTGCAACACCATTATCATCATCACATAAAGCGGATCCAATTAACTGAATAACCTTTAATAATTACTGTTTCATAATAACGAGCGACAGGGTAACGTAGTAAAACGGAGTTTGTTGCAGGAGAATCCTCTGGTGCATGTAAACCTCCACCGCGGTGACATCTTAATACAAAGGAGGAAAAAAGCTCTTACCAGACACGAAATCTTCTGAAAGGATCTCTTCTCGTTGTCTTTGTAGTAACTCTGAGTGTTCTTGTATTTGCCGCTCTGACTGAGCTGGTTGTCCCTCCGCTCCAAGTTTATACCGAAGCGCTCCGGTCCGACCGGTGCTTCAGGGGAGCGGGCTGACGTCAGGGATGTCGGCTCCGGCCCGGATGATGCTTGATGATGCAGCCGGGTGGGCGGGACCATTCCAAGTTAACAAGTTAACAAGTTTTATTCTAAGGTATTTGATGAGGAAATCTGCATTCGTCATTTCTTTCAACAGAAATACGCGTTTTATTGCATAAAGTAGATCAATATAAACGACATGCTATTGTTTTCAAATGTATGCCTATTTATTATTTAAAGGAGAATCTTAATGCGTTTACATTTCAGGACAACACACATAAAATGTGTAACAGAAAGAGAGAGACATATGCACGTTATAAATGTTTTTAAACATTTTTAATAGATAGATGGCATATTTAAAGGATGTAAAGGATGTATGTTTACATATAGTGAATGCTATGCAAATGTGTTGCTACCGCGTTTTTATTATTATTATTATTATTTTATTATTTTAGTTTAGTTGGAGTGCAACCAAACCGAACAAAAACTACTGAAGCTTTTAAGCAGACGTGTAAAGTGGAAAAAACAACAACAAAACACTAGTAAACAGCTCATTCTTCACACAGTAGGTCGCCTCTGGGAGGCTGTGATGGGTTGTGGGTGGTACTATATCACTGTGGCTAACCACCTGGCACCAGGAGCCCTTTGTTACAACCACAATCCCCTTTATTCAACCCATCCCTTCCTCAGGAAATCAATCATTTAGCCTGAAAAGTAGCTCCATGTCGTTTTAAGAACACTTAAGGTTTTTATTTTCTTGGAATAATCCATGTTTATTGTTTTTATTGGCTGTTAAATCTACATTAAATTGCTGAAAATACAGCAATTTGGGGTGTAATGGCTTAGGGGGGAAGTTAGTTTGGCGTCTGTCCCACTTTGTCTTCATCTGTGTTGGATTACAATTGGCTCTCAAGTCTCATTAAGGAAAATTACAAACAAAGACACACATTACAAGAACACAATCTACTACAGAGGAATAAGTTACATTAGGTCATGTTACAACACAAGACTCTTATCTCCTTGAAATTCTTATGAAACTGGCCAATTAAGGCATTCTTCCTCTTTTGTGTTAAGTAATGAAAAAAAATACGTACCTTTTTTCTTATTTTGTTTGTCCTTATTTACATTGTGCCATAAATGGTAAGGTATTTGTAAATCATGCAGAGTAATTGTAGCATCTGCACAAACCACTGTTTTAAACATTTTAGTTTGCTGTCTTAATGTGTGGGTAGATGTTTTTATAATTCCTGGAGCTCGGATGCTGCAAATCCACAATCAGGGTATCGAGTGTCACATAAAATGAATACGAGAAGGTTTCTCGGACACAGTTCACAGTTACTGATTTTCCTTGGCAGCAAACCTGAGATAGAGTGAAAAAGACGACTGTGCAAAACTTAGACGTGTTTTAGTACAAGTTTAAAAAAAAAAAAACGAAATAAAAACTGTAATATAGAAATATTCCAGCATATAAGCCTGCAGTTTTTTATTTGGTTTTTATGGATGAAGCAAACAAAACATAACAAGGTAAACAGCTTTAACATAATCCGGTGGGCAAACATTTTGTGCATTCATGAGCTCTACCAGTGGGAACAAGATAGTTTACCTAATTTTGATCAGATTATTTGCTTTTTAAAATATTCTGAGGCACTCTGTGCTGATAGAAACCTTCAGTTACAAAATTTTACTTTTAACTAATGGTTACAAATGTTATTACATTTTAGCAAATATTAAAGAATACAAAATGTAACTTTGAACACATCAAAACTTACTTACTGTTAATTAGATATTAAATTTTTCACTTACCATTTTTTTTGTAAATATTAACCATGTACCTCAATTTTCTCTGACTTTCCAGTGTTTGTAGTTCAATAGACAAGGAATAATTTTAACAAGCTGAGGATACAGCTGTTTCTAAGCCAAGACAGACTTGCCTTAGAAGACTTCTATCTATCTTCTTGTATGGGACGCAGCTGTGTCCCTGAGGTAACTGGGTGTAAGTTTAAATTTAATTGTCTGATGTTAGTGTTATGTCTCACTGATGACAGAAGTCAGAGGAGAATGGACAGATTGCTTCAAGCTGAAAGGAAGGCAACTGTATCTCATATAACAACTTGTTATAGCCAAGCTATGCCGAAGAGCATCTCTGAACAGACAGCATGTCCATTCTGGAAGCAGATGGGCTACAGCAGCAGAAGTTTTCACATTACTCCATGCAAAAACAACAGGTGATTAAACAGAAAAAAACATCATTGGTATACTCTGGAAACTCTGAAGTGCATCTTCTCCAAATATAACACCCGTTATATCAACAATGATGTTGCAAAGTCAGAACATGTGAAACACTGAGATGAACACTTTAACAGACGTCAACAAGCTGATTTTAACTGATCTAAAAATATCCAACTTTGCAATAGTAGGCCTGCCCCAACTGGATCACCCCAAAAATAGTAAAACCTGTAGTCTTATTGATATTAGCTGTTTTTAAATGATCTATACATTCTGTTTTGTCCTGTGATTAAACTGGGCCCTGTATTGCTATTAATTATTTTGTTGTAATTATTCTTGGTTCTTGTTTTGTCGCTTTATGTCTATAAAAGGCGCTTTACGTATAAATATTACTTTTTTTGTAATTTATTTGCCTCACAGAATCTGAGCATCTGATTTGATTAAAGATCTACAAGGGCACGATCCAGACAGAAAAGAAACCAATGAAACTAAAGAGGGGCAGCCAAGAAGGAGACTTTCAGTAGGTTAATATGAGCTGTCAGGTCATGATGCAGATGAGAGGGGTGAGTCAAGCAGTTTGGGAAGTTTGATTCTACAGTAATGGTGCTGTACCCTTAGCAGTGATATCATATATACATTCATGCAGTGGTTCAGTGTTTACTGCCTCATAATAAGAATGTCCTGTATTTGAAACCAGGTTGTTTTTCTTGTGTCAGCGTGGGTTTCTCCCGCACTCCAAAGACATGCACAGAGTTAAGTTAATTGGCGATTCTAAATTGAGCGCAGGTGTGAATGTGATAGCCCAGACAGATCCAGGTGTACTTATTTCTTGAATTATGACAGCTGGGATGGCATCGCCCACAAAAAAAGATGGCCATTGTTTTTGAAAGCGTTTGATCCGCAAGATTGTTTCTCAGAAAGATTAGCTAGGTCACATTCTTTCTCGATGACCCCGTGTTTCATTTTTCTAGTTAAAGAGAGACACTAAAGTGACCTTTATGTGTACGGCTGTTTGGATGCCACATTGCTTATGTAGAAAGACACAAATGACGCCAAATTATTAATGTACATGACATAATATGATTTAGGGGTTACGATAATTCTTCACTTAAACATTTAAACTAACTTTTAAACTAAAATAATCATTTTTTTAAAAAATGTAATAAGGTTTTTTTTGGATTAATGTAGTATTTGTTTCTAAATTGAGTGACTTTCTACAATTATGAGTTTACACTTATGAGTTTCTTAATTTAATTTGGGGGGAATTAAAGAAAATTTCCGTTTAATGGTGATCAAACTCATAATGTATGGTTGAAAAGTGCATAAACCTACCAGCAGGACATAATCCGAGGACTTTCCCTACAAGTGGGCGGGGCTGTTTCTTCGTCAGGTTAACAGGAAATATCAGTATCAGGAAGTTGAGTGTTTGGAGATTTGTTGTGTCGCCAAAATTTGCTGCAGTAGTTTTTATTAAAGTTTTACTGATTGAAAGCTCGGATACACACAGTAAACCTGCCGTTCAAACACAAAAAAGGCGTGAAAACGCGTGAACGCTGCGTGTGGAGTCTAAGGTAGGACTCAGGAGTTGAAATGTTGACGCTTTTCTCCTTGAAAATAAAACACGAAGACTAGTTCCAGCTCATTTTATATGAACAGAGAAGTACAAAAGGAAAGTAAATTTTTGTGTGTCGGTGAATAATATTCTTATAATGAGTAAAAGGTTGGCGGTATATTTACTGTAAGTCAGTCTATGAAGCTTAAAACGAAACCCTTCAAGCATGTAGCGCCCCTGTAGTGTTTAATGGGCCTCTTAATAGTCTGCGACTATATGACAGTTAGTTTTCTTTATATACACGTAGCGGGCTTTTTTTTAATAAGCTAGACTCGCCTATAGGAATGTTTGTATGTATGTTTTGTCTGTTTTATTGCAGCTGCTGTAAAACATAAACTCAGTGTTTATGTAGTTTCACAGTTTGGAGAGCTTTTATTTCATCCATCAGACCCCTGCAGTCACATTTATAACAATACTGATAATACAACAAGTTCCCAATGAGATTTTGTTTTTCATTTTTTTATAATAGGTTAATTAGCTTATGGGAATTCATACAGCTTTTTGTTACTTTTTTGCTGTTTAGAAGCCACCAACACTGTTGTTTCTGTTTCTGTATACATATGTTATCACCTACAGGACAAACACAGCATTTCTTTTCTTACTGTCCCTGACCAATAGGCAAGTTACTCATTTTACCAAATTAATGTTTTACTCTTGGACATTTTACTCTTACTCTTTGGACATTCGCTGCTTTTTCTCTCATTTTTAGTCTAGTCCTTGTACCTGATCATTTTCAGGGGAATGTTTGGTTTGTTAAGCCACTTAACAGTGACCTATGAATCATTCAAAAAGGCATCTAACCCAAAAATGAGCCAGTGTTTTGTTTACATATAACATAGCAAAGAACTAGCTTAAAATAGTATATTCAGACGCTAAAGGTCTTTTGCAAAAACACATTTGTTCCCATTCCTTTAGATGAATTTACAAACAAAACAAAACAAAAACAAGGGCATAAATGATGGAGATAAAATGTTTATATAAGGTTTTTGCATCAACTGAGTGATTCCCAAACACCTATCAGTCAAAAGGTTGGCATATTTTGGCATAGTGTGCAGTGCGTTTGAGGAAACTGGACAAGTGGAAGACAAAAGATGAAGTGGCATGACTAAAACTCGTGTTTTTAGAAATGGGTAATATTCCAGCAAAGACCTGACACAGAAGCTGCGAGATGCATTCTGACCTTCAGTTGATCCATCTACTGTTCACTGAAGCCTCATCAGAAATGGTCTCAGTGGAAGCGTGGCTATTCTTAAGGAAGGGAAATGGGGAGAAAAGGCTGAGGTATGCCAACACAAGAACTGAACTGAAAGTCAGTGGCAACAGCTCTGATGGAGTGATGAACCAGATCTGAAAATTCTGGTTCCAGTCGTCATATAGAGTGTCTACAGCCATCTATAAAGCACGGTGGAGAGTCAGTCATGGTTCTGGGCTGCATTTAATGGAATTATGAACACAGACAAGTACTGTCAGACTTTGATCCATCACACTGTACCATCTGGAAAGAATCTAATTGTCTATGGCTTCATTTTTTTCAGTACTCCCAAACACTGCTAATGCTGGAAAGGCAGATCTGGGTAGAAAAACACAAGATAGGAAGCCATCGGTCGAGATACTTTCAAGCTTGTCAGAATCGTACAAACTGTTATGTTATTTTGTATCTCTATATGTGTTTGCATGTTTCAGTTAAACAATGCACCTATTATCAGTTTTAAAAGGTATAAAGGTATAAATATAAAAGGTTGACTCAAGACTTTTGCATGTTCCTGTACAAACCAGAAAACACTGTAGGTCTCAGAGCTGAGAAGCTTCAAACAAGGCTTTTTTTAGGCATTTGTTCGAGACGAAGCAGTTAATTATTTGCTTGAGTACTGGTTGCGTGCTCAGACAAATGCATACTCCCATGACATTTTTCAGGCCAAACGTAACATTTTAGCCTTAGTAATGGGTCATGACGGATCCACTATTTTGTTGTTTTAGGTGTAGGTGAGGAGGTCATGAATCGAGTCCCCCTGCAGCAGCCACAGAGCTGTGGGCCCTGGGAGCTGAAGGAGCGGCTCGGCACCGGGGGCTTTGGAAATGTCACAAGATGGCAAAACAAGGTATTCACTCCACATACTTCTAGCATACTGTTACATCTTTGAGAATCTTATATCTTTAGGACATAATAGACAGGAAAGAGGATGTTTGAATAACAAACTATCACACTGACAAGATAATTAAACATGTCCTGCTGGAGTTTCTGGGAAGCCATCGGCTCTTACCTCTGCTGATCAAATTTTAAAGTTAAGGTTTTGTTTAGAGGGAAATAGTCATTTTAAAATGGAATCAGAAATGAAAGTTCACTTGTGTGTTTCCCTCTTTGTGTTTAGTAAAGATTTAAGATGAGGAAAACTTCCTCAACCTGCTGAGGCAAAGCTTCTTGTTCCTCCTACAGCGAAAGCTCATGTAAACAGTATAATGACCGTGGAGGTGGATTAGCTGTAGGGTACAAATTAAACTCATCTTTTAGCTAATGTCTGTTTGTATTTCACTAAGATGACACTCGTGGAATTGCTTGAAAGAATGTATAAACAACTCTCACTGGATTATTTTGATACTACAGAACTCTTGAGGATAAAAATATTAGGTCCCCTATGAAATTCAAAGCTTTTTAGTTTTTAAAAGAGTAAGGGATTTTCTAAACTTGCTAGTTTTCTTTAGAAATCATAATTTATTTCTATTTGAACACAAGAAGTATTATTTCATAAAAAAAAAAATTATTATGGTCATGATTACCACCCTGAAAAATGTTTTAGCAAGCCATAGCACAAACCAGTGTTGTGCACTGTGGTGCTTTAACTTTGTAATGTTCAATTTACACACAGTATCAAAACTTCAGCACGGGTTTAAGCTGTCACTTTGGAAAGCATCCTGCCAAAAACAAACGTAATCAGTCATCATCATAAGAATTGGTGATGCTCACAAAGCAGGAGATAGATACACAAAGCTATCACAGTGTTCCCAAGTTTAAATAACTGGAGTTAGAAGTATTTTCCCAAAATTTAACGAGACCAAACAGTTCAGAACAAGCCTGACAGAGGTTGGAAGTATAAGGTTTCAACAATTCTGGAAAGAAACTGAGTGAGAGATGTCTCCAAAGACCCCAGAACAACTGTGAAGACACTCCTGAATGACTTCGCCAGCTCAGGAATTATCGTCTGGAAGAAGATAATCAGTAGAACACTGCACAGGAATTGACTGTGAGGCTGCAGACCGCGACAAACTCAATTTGTCATCTTCAAGCCAGACTGACATGTGCTAAGGACAACCTGGGGAAAGATTATGACTAATGGAAGCTCAGAAAGTGTTATTTATAAAATATGGGTCTGATGAAAAGAATGAAGGTCTTTGAACTGAACAAAAGAGCATTTGGGATTTCACCTTCATGGGTTTTGTTCACTCCAGGAAGCTCTTCTTTGTGCACTCAGCCCATGTGAAATAGTGTCTATTGCAATGATGTCACTCTAAGTCACGGGATGAAACCATTTGAAAGTTACATCACTGAACAAGAGGGCACTCTGGGAACATGACAACACCCGATTAGTGGCTCTTCCTTTTCCTATCTTTAAAATTGTACTTTAGCTGTGCTGTTGTATGACTCACATTTAATATCGTTGCATTTTTAAAGCTGGCTTTGAGCCAGGAAGTGATTTAATATAGTGTCTGCTCTGTGGTTTGCAAAGGTGTAATGATAGTTGTGTATTTTTCCATTGTTTTAGTCCAGTCCATCCATCTATTGTTTAACTGGTTATCCAACCAGGCTCATAGGCAGGCTAGGCCCAGCTGACGGTGGGCATCCATACCTATGGCCAATTTGTGATTCTTTTACCCCATTTCCCCTTCAGTTTTTCATGTGACTACAATCCACAAAGGAGAGTTAAAATCATTTCTGTTGTGGTTTCATTATGAAAGATTTCAGCACTTCTCATTCATTAAATAAAGAGCTGTCCAATTCTCTGTTGGTGGCTGTAATTCAGGCTTTTATAATTGTTTTCCTGAAGCTGCACCTGTATTTTGCAAAATGTGTATTTAATAATATACACTCATTGGCCTCTTTATCAGTTGCACCTTGCTAGCTCTGGTTTGGACCCAATTTTGCCTTTGAAATGTTTTATCTCTTCGCGGCATAGATTCAACAAGGTGCCGGAAACATTCCTCTTTTTAGTCCGTGTTGACATGATGGCATAATGTAGTTCCTGCAGATTTTTTTGGCTGCATATCCACGATCCACGTTCCATTCAGTCTCATCTGAAAGGTGATGTGGAGGCTGTGATGTGCTGCTTTTAGAGATGCTCTTCTGCATATCTTGTCTATGATGACTAGTTATTTCTGTAGGGCTCTAGAGTGTAACCAATATGGTCGCAAATGCGGCCAAATTTTTCAATGGTGCGACTAAAAAAAAAATCTTAGGTCGCACCGGTGCGACCAACTGTTCAACTAACAAAAGAAAAAGAAATACTCCGCAACTCTGAAAGTCTCCGTGTGGTCAACAGCAGACACACATTATGCCTCTATTGTGGTCTAAACCAATCAAAAATAGTCAGGGGCGGGCCCTCTCTGATTGGTCGTGGTCCAGATATTCGTGTAGTCCATGTGTACGTTTGAAAGTGCAGGTTTAACATTGTCTACAATATTGCCAAAGAGTGCCAAAGCACTTTAAGCACAAGCACAAGATTGTTAGTTAAATATTTACAAATCAGTATTGTCTGTATGGACAGCAATCCCCCCCCCTCCAAAAAAGTGCATATGTAAAACTGCTGTGTTAAGCAATGCGGTTGAAACACCAGTTAAACCATGGCAAAAAGTTAGTCTAGAGCCCTGTTCTGTCTCCTCAACATCACATTAACTAAGAATTTTGACCAGAAAACTGCTGCTCACTGGATATTTGTTCTTGTTCTCTGGAAAGTGGGAAAATTCAAGTAGATCAGCACTTCCTGAAATACTCAGACTTTCCCATGACAAATAAGTCACGACAAAGTCACTTAAATCGCCTTTCTTTCTCATTCTGATGCTCCATTTGAACTTCAGAAGTTCACCTTGACCACGTCTACATGCCTAATACATTAGGGTGCTGCCATGTAATTGGCTTACTGGATATTTGCATAAATAAGGTGCTGAACAGGAGTATCTAACAGAGGGGCCAGTGCGTGTGTCTTCCATAAACGTATTTGTATGATTTACTTCCATTGCTGTTTACAATAATCAGTGAAGCATTCAAAAAAAGAAGTTTAGCATTGTAATCACAGTGCTAATCATCGGTGCCACTGCAAATTGACCTTTAGGAGGGAGAATGATTGAGGACTCTTGTGGCACTGCCATTGTGATGATTCAACTTCTTCTGCAGGAAAGGTTATGTCTTCCTGCATTGGCGACAATACTGTTGGCTAATAATAGCTCATATGGGAAGTGAAACGCCTTCATGAGAAACAGGTAGGAAGAAGTTGTTTCTCATCATTTTTAGGGAAGTGATTTAATATAGTGTCTGCTCTGTGGTTTGCAAAGGTGTAATGATAGTTGTGTATTTTTCCATTGTTTTAGTCCAGTCCATCCATCTATTGTTTAACTGGTTATCCAACCAGGCTCACAGGCAGGCTAGGCCCAGCTGACGGTGGGCATCCATACCTATGGCCAATTTGTGATTCTTTTACCCCATTTCCCCTCATTTTTTTTCTGTTTATCATAAAGTAGGAATGTCTGACCACTCTGTTTCTTGAATACAAAGTAGTCATGGTAAAATATATAATTAACATTGAAGATCGCACAAAGGATCGTTACGCTCATTTCCACTAGAGCAGCTTTGCATGATTCACACTTCAGATGAAGCTTTTTTCTGTCTTTTATTTGTATGTCCACTTTAACTCTGTAATGCCATGTGTATTATATTTGATACATGAGTTTTTGAGGCTCCTACATCATTATTGTGATCTTTATTTTTTTAAATCTAATCCCAACAGCATCATATTATTATATCAATTGCAAGAAAAGCTGGATGGAGTAAATAATACAAGTGGATATAAATTATATGAATTAAAACTCATGTATCCAACTTGATATTAAATCTATTTTTTAAATTTGTTAGGTTCAATAAACACTCTAGTTGGACTTTAGTTTCAGGTTTAATGGTTCAGACTTTGTAGGTTTAATGTATTATCCTGATGTATTTATCATTTTTTTATTTTGCTTTTGTTACTCTTTTCTCTTTCCTTCTTTTCTGTCCTAACCGCCCTTTCTTTTTTTTCTTTTCCTTAAGCTTTTTGTCCCCGACATATGAACTCTGAACATTTCAGGAGAATCAGGTTGAGACATTGTCTGCAGTTGCTGTCTCTGACTTGCAGCACAAAGCAGGAAACTATCTGAGTCAGCCTCATTGCTATTATGGGAAATACTGTCTTTTGGCAAGGTTACTGGCAGGTTAGCGAATGTTGAGGCACTGCAGAGATTGTTTAACATCTCAAATGAATTGAGAACCTCTATTGGATATTGTGTAGACAAATAAAAGGCTAAAGTTCATGTGTGAAAACAGCTTTTCAGTGTAATGTCCTCTGAAATGATGGAAGTCTGACTTTGTGTCTGTCTGTTTTCAGGACACAGAGGAGCAGATTGCTATAAAGCAATGTCGGCAAGAGCTGAGTGACAGAAACAAGGAGAGATGGTGTCTGGAGATCCAGATCATGAAAAGGTCAGAAGCTGCATTTGAGATTATGTTGAGTGATTATCAGTATTATAACTCCATCCAAGTCCTATACAGAAACTATAACTCATTTAAAATGTGGTCAGTCACCTGTTCCCTTGCAACTACAGTTTTTTTTCCCCACCATTGCTTTTGGAAGTCCCAGTCTGACTTGCACTTGTGTGCAGAATGAGCAGCAAACTGTCAAGGAAGCTTCAAGAAAAAGTCTCTTTTTCCACAGTGATGCATCTCAGTTTGTGACACATCAGTTTTTAAGAAATTGGTGATTTTCCCATGCAAACTGAAACAGTTTGCTGCGTTGGTTTAAGGCCGTTTTTGGCATGTTAGCCTGGTTCAGTCTGACATGTTGCCGTGACTCACTTTGGTACATTCCATGACAAACTGGGTGCTTATGAGTTTGACATTTGACTTTTATGTACCCATCTGTTTAACAAGTTTCTCAAAATATAAAAACCAATTTTGTGCCCTGAAATAGTAAAAATCACACATTAGATAATTAGAACAGCATGAAAGTGAGTTATTTTGGTGACTTTGGTTATTTCTGACGTCCTAGGTGCCACCTCCTCATTTTGCTCTGCTTTGGCAGTCATTCTCTTTCCACACCAGAAGCCATTCTGTTAATGGCTTCGGTTTTGGTGTCAGGTCCCTGGATGCCAGTTTATGCGGGGTTTGATTATGTTTTGAGATGTGAAGTGCATGTGCTTTTTGTCATTTGGTAGTGCAAACACACGCATAAAACCTCCCCCCCTTGTCTTACTTTAACAAGCGTGTTGTTTTCAGACAGACTTGGTCACAACCGCAACCCTTCCGTGCTCCCACGCTCAACTTGGGGAAAAAAAACACTGGGTAGGGGACATGGCAACCTACCATTATATTATTACAGCTACTTAACACAGATTTGCACACGAACATCTACTGAAAGACACATCACTTTGTTTTTGAGTTATAATGTGTTTATACATCTGGTATTCTGTTGCTTTTGCAAATGCAGAATGTCTTTTTAAAACCAAGGGAAAAAAACATTTCCAAAATCTCATGCAGGCTTCATCCCACTCTTTCTCTCATTGTGTATTTTTTTTTTTAAACGTTTTCTCAAATTCAACAGTTTCCAGTTCATATGTTATTATAATAATAATAATAGCTTTATTTGTATAGCTTTAAAAATAACCCCCAAAAACTGTGCCTTACAGTTTGGATAAAACTATACATTAAACATAAGTTCACCTGCCCCAGCTGACAGACACACAGTCAAACGTACGTTCTTACATTCAGTCATACACACTCTACAGCCAGAAGTAAGGGATTAAAGATTACAGAAAAGCTAAGCTATAAAATGAGTCTTCAGCAGCTGTTTAAAACAAACTGCTGATTCAGGCTGCCGCAGGCTGTTACAAAGTTTTGGTACGACAACTTCAAAAGTGTGGACCCCTCTAGCTTAGAAGAATGAAGAGGTTGTCTGCTGGAATAAATTCTCAGGATGTCTGCTATCTGTGCAGGAGCTTGGCCATGTGGATTTATGTTATTAATACAATTTTAAAATTATTTCTAATTTCAGCTGGAAGCCATTGAAGACAAGTAAGAGTAGAGGTGATGTGACCACTGGCTTGTTTTTGTTAGCAGCCTAACAAAAGTGAAGAGTCAGTGACAGTAAATGAGTTGGGAGAACATTAAAGCATGTACTTTTTTGTGATGTTTCTTAGTTTAAAGAAACAAGACTGGATGAGCTTGGAGATGCTGGTTAAAAATAATACCAAGATTCTTAGATGCTTATTCGATATTGCTGGTGAGGAGGCTAGTATAATGACTGACCACATAAGAGAAGCTGAACACAAGAACCTCTGCTTTGTCACAGCTGAAGACACTCAGTCTTTAGTGACAGTAAAGGTAGGAGAGGCTGCTGAGATTGTTAGCCTTGACAGAAAAGTATAGCTGTGTGTCATCAGCATAGCAATGATAGGAGATGCCTTTGAAGATGTTAAATAGATGGCCTAATGGTAACATAAATTAAAAGCAGAAATGATCCAAGGATTGAAACTTGAAGGACTTCATATGAATCCTTGTATTCCCAGAAGCAGAAAACATCCTATATTAAAGAAATATAACTATACAGCTGAATGTATTTCGTTTTGTTTGATTATTTATTGCTTTAACTGAACACTTGCATACGTGTGAGGACTCATAATAACAGTCATTTATTATTTCAGTGATTGCTATCAGTCTTCTGCTATTCGAGTTCCTACAACACGGATTTACATGCAGTACATCATTTTCTTGGTCAGTCTGATATCAGTTGGAGTCTGTTATCTTTACACTCTCCTTTGCTTTTTATATGTAATGAATACTTGAGTCAGAGGCAATCTGAAACACATTGTTTCAGTGACACATTATGAAACCACAAAGCTTCCGATATGGCAAAGGAGGAAATTGAATCAGATCAAAAAGTAAGACTTTTAATGATCCAGAGATTGTGTGATATAAACAGTTTTGTTATTTTTAATGCAAGCCAAGTTTTAAACATTTTTCTAATAAAGTTTAAATGAAGAACAGCACAACATATGGTAGCGTAGAGTAACTCTGATGCCAGGCGTCTTCACTGCAATTCATACAAAAAACATAGAAAAGAATCAAAGAGTAAATAGTACAGTATCTATCTCAGTCAGTTATATGAAATTACAAAAGCATTGTTTGTATATATGAAATTTAGAGTACTCATGTATCAGCAATTGCATCATGTTTTGTGTTATATAATAAGTGATATAAGAGTTGTGGTGTGTTCTACTTCCAAGGTCCAACTGGGTCTGAGTGAGGTACATTTTGTCATCATAGGTTAAACACAGCACTTCATGCAGAAGTTTGTGAGACTTGTCAACACAGATGCTGAACTACAGTTTACAAGGATCCAAGCGCACTTGTTGTCCTCACAGAACTGTGTCTACAATCAAAAGCAATCATAATCCCAGCCTGTGGAGAAGATTTTTGTGTCTAATGTGGAAAAAGGTGGAGGCGAATGTTTTCTATGTAAGACAGGATATGGTAAAAGAGCAGTTCCCAGGCAAAAAAAAATGCAGAAACAACAAATTGTATTTTTTTTTAGATATCACAATGCGTAACTTCCTTAGAAATAGCTGCCAAGAACCTGGAAATTAATCAGTGCAGTCAGTTGAAACATTGGAGCGTAATTCAAGATTAATCTCTGTGTATTTGCTTGGTTCTTACTGGATATTATTGGTGCAGTGACGCAAGACAGGGAGTTTATTCATGAAGTTAACTGCATGCTTGAATAGGCTGGGCTGAAATGGGTCCCAGCCAATGGCTGTCCAAGTCTGATGGGGAAAAATGTTAGGCTTTGGAAGTAGATGCAAGATAAAGACTAATATGTACCCAGGTGTTTTTGCGTTGTGCAGGGGGAAAAACTGAAAGCAGCAATGAGAGTTTCGTATGAGGAAAGGGAAGGATGTTCCGGAGCTCTCAAATGCAGAATTGAAGCCATTTACTCAGACACTGAACCCGACTTTAACGCACTTAACCAAAACCAAACCACTAGATTTATGTCACCAAACATGGAAAAAGAAATGAAAAACTGCAAATCCATTAATTCAACTGGAAGCAAAATGGAAATAGCACTTAGTACAGAGTTAAATCTTTCAATGTTTGCTGAAACTTTTTTCACAAGTGTTTTTGAGATTGTTGATTAAATAGTGATTAAAAGTTTAGCATTTTATTATAGCTTAATTCTAATATCCCCTTTTACCAGTGACAGTTTCTAAAGAGATAGCATTAATAATGAGCAGAATTGAGTTTACCTTATTGGTGCCACCCTCCACAGCACTCCCAATTTCTCATGAAACCCCCTTGGGAAGATCAGTTGCCCTTCTCTGATTTGTCATTTTCTTTTGTCATCAGATCGGTTTCAGGAACATTTTAACAAAAGATGATTTCTTGTGGTTAAAATGATAATGAATTATATTGCTATAAGACATTGTACAGTTCTTCTAATTAGTTTTTCTCACTTAGGTTGGATCATGTCAATGTGGTTGCTGCCCGAGAAGTTCCTCAAGGAATGCAGAAACTGGTGGCCACCAATGATCTGCCGTTGCTGGCCATGGAGTACTGTCAGGGTGGAGATCTGAGAAAGGTAAAAGCCGGTTATGTTTGCGTGTGTATATGCATATACAGTCATGTGTAAAAGGAAGTACAGCCACTTTCAGGCCTAAGGTTTTACACGTCAGGATATAATCTGGGTCATCTGGTCCTTAGTGGGTCTTAAAGTTCAGATGAACAACAACACATCTCACACAGTACTGTGCAAAAGCCTGAGCCACCAGTGTTATGTACAGACATACACTGAAATGCAGTAAAAAAAGGTAAAAAAAGAAAAAGAAAAAGTTTTTACAACTCTAACAAGCCTGAAAGTCAATATTTGGTATGACTATATTTATGCTTCAACAAATGTGTTTATGCAATACCTGCTAGTAATAAGTGCATGCATTTTGATTGGCAAAGTTTTCTATGTGTAGACATAACACAGGCTGACATTGAATGGATTATAGGTCACTGTTAAGATGTCAGGTACAAGTGCTGGATTGATGAGGCATCAAAAAATTACCAGTGTCCATAGTGAAACTGTGAAAGACTACGAAAGCCAAGAAGACAAGTCTGATTCCTTGGAAGCAAAATTTCAAGGAACGAGGGTTGGCTCAAGACTATTGCACATTACTGAATTACATCCTGTCATTTATTAGTAGAAATGCAGAAGTTGTATGTGTAAAGAGAATGTAGCAAGAGTGGTGATCATTTTAGCTGGTTTTGCTACTGTGGGACCCGAGCACTTGCAGTCACTAAGTTTACAAGGAAGCCCTCTGTATACCAGATAATTCAACAATCAAATGGGAAGCCATATTTCTGACACCTTTCTGACAGAAATGATCCAAAGCATAGCAGCAAATCTAAAACAGAGTGGCTATAAAAGAAATGAATCAAGGTTTGCAAATGGCCCAGTCAAAGTCCAGATCTCAACCTGATTGAAGTGGTGCAACTTTCAGAGAGCAGAGAGCAAATGTTTGAAAACCTCAATGTACTAAAGCAAAATCTTTAAGGAAAGAAGGGCAGATTTCCTCCACAGCAATCTAAGAGACCAATAAAGTCATACAGAAAACAGTGATTTCAGTCATGGGGTGTACTTAGTTTTCCACACACTGGTTCTTCAGTTTAGTGCTTGTTAAATAAATAAAGACTTAGTATAATATGTTATGTGTTGTTCATCTCAGGTTGTATTTACATATTTTGTTTAGATAAAACCTTGGAACTCAAATGGGTTGTACTTTCTGTTTCATATTCCTTGATTTGATGTGGTTTAGGTCACTGGATTTGAGCCCGTAAACCTACATTTTAATAAAATGTAGACTCTGTTTTATTTTATTTATTTTATTTTTTTGTTTTATCTGAGCACATACGTGTGTGTATTTACATATATACTCGTATTTGTAAATGCAAGTATGTGTACTTGTGTATATATTGTTTTTTTGTTTGTTTTTTTCTGTATATGTCTGAAATAAAGATACAATACAATACATTTTAATAAAATTAAATAACTGTGAATGGTTATCTTCGGTTGGTAATATTTTTTCTCATTCTTAATATGAGGCAATATATGGTTGTCTTTTGAAATCTTTTGAGTCACATGTATGTATCAAGTTTAGAAATAATGCTAGTAGCACAAATTTTAAAATGGCAAATGTAACAATTACTGTACATGTATGTTTTTGGTTGGTTTTTTTTCTGTTTTAAGTCTGATTTATTTGGACCAACAGTTACTCAGCTGTTTGCTCTTCATTCTGTGGGATAAATCTGGTGCAGTTTTTAATTTGAAAACAACTGAGTGTTAACCCCGAGGCCAGCAGAAGAGGAAAATGCCAACCATTGCAAACCGCAGTGTCATAAAAATTTCAAAGCATCCCAGATGGTCGAAAACTAAGCAGATGGAGCGCAAAACTGCACCATCCTTTTTTGTCAGGCTTGACACAAGTTACCAGCAGCAAAGTGCTGTAAAATGATTTGTTTAAAAGAAAGAAAGAAATCTGCTTTTACTACCAAAATTGTGATTTGTACGTTTGCAAAAGGGCCTGAGAGCCTTTTGAAAAAGATTGGTGCTTATATGTCTGATCTCTTATAAAGATAATGTACTTAATGGATGGAAAGTAGTTTTTATAGAACGATAAAGAAGAAAACATTCATAAAAAGGACAGAGTAATGAACTCTTGCCTGTGTAAACTTGCGTTGCATTCTGCTCCCTGGTTCTTGTCACTGAGGTGTCGAGTGTCTGTTTTTGTGCTCTCTGCAGTATCTGAACATTTTGGAAAACTGCTGTGGAATGAGGGAGGGGTCCATTTTGATTCTGTTACGGGATATTTGTAAGTATTTGGTTTCACCGCCATCTCCATCATGACTGCGCTAACCTTTTAAATTGTCAGTGTGAAAGACTGATAGATTAGCTTGGAGTGTGATCTGTTCTCTGTAGTAGGGAGGAAACGGTGCTGGTGAGTATCGTGATGTCATCACTGACTATAAACCGCCATCCTCTTAGTCACCGTGGCCCGAGATCATACTCATAGCAGGGCTTACGTCAACAATCAGACCCCCATGCTCTTTGGTTTAAACATTATACATGAACACTAACATCAACATGCACTCTGTGTTTGTCTCTGTATAAACGACTTTGAGCTAAGAAACAAATAATATGGATTAAAGATATCTCGAGTGCATATTTCACTCAAACACGTGCGCATAAGTGGACACAGACATGCAGAAACTCCTTTTCCTGTGACCACTTTGTGGACATTTCCTGATAATGAGTGATCCACTTTAAACTGTTTCATGAGCGAAAGCAGTGACCCAGTCATGTGTATCCACACCCACAAAGTCGCACTCACTCACACGCGCTAACATTTAGATGCCCCAAACTTATGTTCCGCTTCAGTCACCTCTTTTTGTTGACACACCCGCAGGTTAATCACCCAATTAAAAGTGATGTTAGAGTTTCAGCTGTGCTGCCTGTTACGCTTTAATCTTTTACAGTTGATGTTAAAGACTTGATCTGGTGTTTCAAGACTACCTAATTAAATTGTTTATTAAACTATTTTATTGGTTTATTAAAAATAATGTTTTTATTGATCTTTGGTGGTTTAACTTCTTACTTTGCTGTAGTAAAGTATGAGTGTGTCCCAGTGTGGGTCACAGATTTCAGATCAAATCCACAGCATGTTCCACACATGCACTGCAGCCGTGAAGGTTATGACATTAGCAGATCTTATTGTCTGGCATTTTCTGAAGTTTATATATGAAACTCAGACTCTATATAATAGAGACAGCCGAGCCACCATTATGCCACCCATTGGTTTCAAGGCTACAGATTTTTAAGCTTAGCATTTTAGGTGGCTGCCATGTGGTTTTTGGTGCCAGATATGACTTTGTTTGGTAGAAAAACAAGGTTTTTTAGAGAGCTGCATAAATTGTACATCTAAAATTCACAGCTGCACATGCCTTCTTTTGGTGCCAAATTAGAGGTTAATTAATTATTAGAATTTGACTAACCAAATCTTCTTGGACGGGCTATACACCTGAGAATACAATTTTACTTGTTCAATAACTCCAATGAAAATCTCCCAAAAAGGCACTAGCTCTAAGTTACCCACAAAAAGTAAGACCAAGGGGAGCAACTGAAAGAAGATAAAGTCGCTTTTGGAACCAACCTCACCAAACGTTACTCCTCGCTTCACTTTTCAGTCCTGGAGGTTGTTGTGTAGTGAAGAAAACTGCATATCAGCAGGGCGTGTGTAGGAATGAAATTCACTAGAACTTTTCCACTAAAGAGGAAAGTAGCTTTTAGGAAGTTTGCATTACGTAAAAATAATGTGCCTCAAACCCAGTCCCAGGGGGTCACAGGCTAGTGTACTCCCAGTGCTGGTCCCAAGCCCAGATAAATGGGAGGACCATGTCAGGAAGTGGAAGAATCTGTACCAGGTCATATAAGGAGATTCATTCGCGGTGGAAACCCCTCGGGGAAATAAAGGTACTTTGGGCTGCTCCCTTATGTACACAGTTTGGACCTCAGCACCTGAGAAACACAGTTTTGGGATTGGAATTATCTGTTATCACTTTTCATATGCACAAGTATGAATATACACTTTTAATGTCTTTAATATAATAATGTTAATTGACGTAATACCAACTAAAAGCCTTTCAGTTTTCATTATAGTTCTGTCTTCCATACAGCACTGTACTCTTACATATAAAAGTGAACCATGAGCCTCTGATAAACTTACTAACATTCCTCTATATCTTCACGTGCTGTGCTTTTTTCCATCAGCTGTAATGCATGCAACTACAGTTTTACATTCTTACTTAATTGTGACTGTTGTTGCTTTTTGTCCCACAGCTTCAGCTTTAACCTACCTCCATAAGAAGAGGATCATTCACAGGGATCTGAAACCAGAAAACATTGTGCTGCAGCAGGGAGAGAAGAGAGTGAGTTAAAGACCCAGTGAAGCCCTTTGGTGGGATAAATACACCCAAACCACATTAAAGAGGCTTTTTGCCTCTATGTGGTTTGTATTGAATTAGTACAAAACACTTGCCTCTGTTATGTGCATTTATCCTTGTACTGAATATTTAATGTGGAAAAGTCCATTTTTATACTTGAACTTGGAGTTACAAGGAACCTTTGGGATCGCCCTACTGCTTAGCTTCCTCTACGGGCCTCTCTTTTATTTTGTCCATTATGTAATAAATCATTGCTTGTTATCCTCCTCCGCCTCTGCAAAAGGGTACAGGAAAGTCAAGAATGTTATATAACCGAGGGCAGACATATTAAAGATGTTATAGATGCATGTTTATGCAAAGACTATTGTTTATAGAATCCAAGCCAAATTTAAGTTGGCTCAGATTCTGTTAAGTTTATAGATTTGCATGAACACTTGTTTTCCTCATGCATGGTAGAGAAACTGTAAAATTGGAATACAGGCTTGGTTTATGGCTTGGAAGTTATTAAGGTACAAGTTGTTGATTTTTCTCACTCATGTAGTCGCTCAGCATTTAAAGGAACATTTCAGCATTTTGGGAAATATATTTATATTCTTTCTGTCAGAGAGTTAGATGAGGAGTTTAATGCTGCACTCATATCTTTGTATTAAATATGACGCCAGCTGGCTCATAATACTAGAAATGAGGGGAAACGGGAACCCTAGCTTTATTGGATACTAAGAAAATCACCACTAATGATCATGTTATATATTGTTGATCCCAAAAGATATACAGTATCAACATTAATTTGCAGTTCTGTGAAGGTTGCATGACTATTTCTCGGATTTGAGCACTTATCAGACAGCTGCATATGAATGTGCTAATGATGCAAAAAAAAAGCTTAATAACTTTCATTAAACCTTGAGTGGAGCTATCTTGCTTTTCCCTTTTGTTTGGCATACATGTACTGTTACATTGGTGGACGCTGGTGTTAAACATGGCCAAATGAAATTATGAAGTCAGTGTCTGTAAAAGTAATCTCTGTGATCTGAACACTCCATTTTGCTCTGTAATACATGAAAGAGAGGGTATACCTTTATTATGGACCATGTCAGGCCCACCCACCTACATCCTGTTTAAACCTTCTGTTTTTAAGGAAGCAGTGAATGAACAAAGGGTTTGCCTTAAATGTTTCAAACAGTGGATGATCTGTTTACGATAAAGAAGTGTTATTTTGAACTGTGAATCATACAAAGGAACTCTACAAGAGTTCAAGAATAAAACGTATGTAGCCGTCTGTCTGTAATTTTAAGAACAAATGATTCTAACTAATAACACTTTTCTTCTTTCCCCTCACTCCTAATCTCAGTTGATCCACAAGATTATAGATCTCGGCTATGCTAAAGAGTTGGACCAGAGCAGTCTTTGCACATCATTTGTGGGAACCCTGCAGTACTTAGTAAGTACTAACAGCTAAAACTGTTACAGCACCCTCCTCATCACATTAGCTGAACCTTAATGCTTTTTCTTTCACTTCTTTCAGGCTCCAGAGCTCATAGAAAGGCAGAGGTACACGGTCACTGTGGACTACTGGAGCTTTGGGACTTTGGTGTTTGAGTGTATCGCAGGATTTCGGCCTTTCCTGCCAACGTGGCAACCTGTTCCCTGGTATTGCCACATTTGAAATGCTCCTATATCTGAAGTTGTCATTTGTTCTATATTTGCATCAGTTAAAATAAGAAAGCGTCCAGAAAATGTTCACTATTTCAGCTTAATATATATAATATGACCAATTAATCTCAAATCAAAAGAAAAAGAACTTGGAAACAATGGAAGGAAATTTTAAAACAACAAACCTGCAGAACCAGCCTTTCATTCCTTTTTAGTCTTTATTTCGGCAGTCTGGGTCCATACTCGAGCTTAATAACTTAAACAATGTTGTTATCTAGGGTTAAGCAATGATAAGCTTTGTTGCAGATAAATATTATTTTTCCGTAACAAGATTTTAACACAGTGAATATAAAAATAAGTAACAGTTGTCCAAGAATTGCAGGATGTCAGTTGTGCCAATACCAGTGCGGCTTGTTTCTCACTCTTGCGATGAATGAATAACATGAAACTCTAGGGATGTCTGCTAAATAGAGAGGAAAAATACTCTTCCCATTGCTGGAAAACCTAAGTGTTAGTGTCCAGTTGCAACCAAAGTGAAGATAAAATAGAAAAAGTACTGCACTTTTAAGAGAATAAAATATTAAACTAAATTGTATACAATTGATTTTTATGTTTTAGGCACAACAAACTCAGGCAGAAGCTGGACAATATTATTATTGTCTACGAGGACCTCACTGGGGACGTCCGCTTTTCCGAACACATCCCTCAGCCCAACAACCTGAACAGGTATGTTCATACAGGACAGACACATGAAAGTGCTGGATTTAAACTCATGTATCTCAGTCTAATGCAATAACTGTTTGGCAGTCTGTTATTAGAGAAGATGGAGAGGTGGCTGAAGCTGATGTTAAAGTGGTCTCCTCAGGAGAGAGGCAAAGACCCCAGTGCTACCCCCAGCGACTGCTTCTCCCAGCTGGAGCTCTTATTGCAAATCAAGGTTAACAGAGAAATTAATTGATTTATTTGACTGATTTATACAACAGTGTCCCTGCATTAAATAAATAATCTCAGGGACTCATAATAGTGCTATAATTAAAAGAAAACTTCTGCTCAAATTTTACAGGATGTGAATCTTTAAAAAAATAATACTACTAATAATAAATTTATGTAACATTCACTTGTTTAGTCTTATGCTTTTGGATCTCCTCTGTTCCCTCAGCTGGTTCATGTCTTGAACATGTCGTCTGCAAAGATTCTCACTTATTCAGTATCCGATGATGAGACTGTGGCCAACCTGCAGCTAAGAATAGAAAAGGACAGCAACATCCCTGCAGCCAATCAGGAGCTGCTGCTCGAGGCGGGGTTGGCCTTGGAGCCTCATGCGTTGGCCACACAGTGCGCCGTAGATTACGCAGTAATTTCCAACAAAACAAAAACACACTCCTTTCAGAGAATATTCTACATGTGACTATGAAAATGTATTGATTTGTTGCTTTTGTTAATGTTTGTCTTTAGGAGATAGATGGAAGAAGAACAGACTTTCCTTTGGTTTTCCTCTTTGATCGTTCCTCTTGTGTTTATGAACCTCAGTTTGCTCCCCGAACTCTCCCTGAAAATATCCGCTTTGTCCGTAAGTCCAAAGATAAAACCTATTTTATCTTATGATATGATTGTGATTGTGTCATTTCTGTTGCTTTCACTTTGTTTCAATTTTACAAACACTCATATGTGAGTCTATCCTTCTGTCTCTCTTTTTTTCCTCTCTTTTTTCCTAGAAACCGACCCTAACTACGTTCTGGCTTACAGCCCTCTGAGGAGGACTTGTGGCCAAGCGTGGCACACCATCCGCTCTCTCAAGGAAGACTGGCAAAGACTGCAGCAGGGGCAGAAAGCTGCCATGTAAGATGTACACCAGCGCACATGCAAATCTCGTAAACATGCTTCTATTCATTTTAAAAAAAAAACATCTTATCCTTTTTCTTTCAGCATGAGCCTGCTGAGACACAACTCTTCACTGTCCAAACAGAAGAATGAGATGGTGTCCATGTACCAGAGACTCATTGCCAAACTGGATTTTTTTACCACCAGCCTTCACATAGACATGGATAAATACCAGGAGCAGACAGCCACAGGGATCGGTACTGTTACAATATTATGTTGGTAGATAGTACACTTTACACTGCCACTACCAGGACTGCATTAATCTATCCTTAAAGATGCACCTTCTTTTTTAACCCTCTTTATGAACAGTCAGATTTAAGATAAGGAATGTAATTACTAGCAGAAATGCTATAACTGGTATTGGTCAATAGAACATTGACATTATATTTTTATTTATTTACAATTATTTATAATTGATACTTTCAGACAGCTAATAAATATAAGTATCTGATAATGTGAATTTATAGTAAGAATAGACCGTGGATTCATACATTGTCAGATATATCATCCTTACATGTTCTTTCACTTAAGCTATTCAGGATAAGCATATCCCAGCTGTCATGGGACAAAAGGCAGAGTACACCCAGTCTACTGCAGGCCTGCAGACTGTGCCATTGCACTGATAGAAACAACCACGGTGGTGCACCACCATGCTCTGTTAGGCTAAAGATACTAGACGTTACTGCTGTTTGACTGATTAGCACCTCTTCGGAGGTTTTTTTTTCCAAAAACACGAAATTGTCCACTTATACTTGTGACAAGTTTTTACAATCTACATAAAGGTTTTGTTATCCAGTTAATTTCTGTTGAATACAGGTAGTGGAAATAAGCTTCATACATACAGGGCGTGCCCTTAGGGAGCTCGGTCATTCAAGAAGGGCTTAGAGTAAAGCTAATACTCCTCCACATCGAAAGGCGGTTGGGGGTGAGGTGTTTCAGGCGTGTCTGGGAGAAGTCCTGGGACACAGCTGGATTGGAAACAACTCAATGTCCCCAGGTAGTGATACCCGGTTTAGCGGCAGAAAATGAATGGAAAGATAAAATTGACCAGTCAACAACTAATGAGAGCATAAACAGTTCTTAGTTTCAGTTAAGGCCAACATCCAGAAGTTTAGTTTCAGCTATTTGACTTTAAAAGGAATTAAATTAATATTTTGGACAACAGTGGTTAATTGTTGTAACACAGCAGAATTTTTTTACTTGTAATTTCAGGGTTTTGTTGGGAACACGATGATCATATTGGAATGTTGTGGGGATGTGTCCCCTTCAGTGTGCGTATCCATTGCATGTATTGAACCTGGAGCTTGGTGGTGTCTATAAATGTCTCACTGTCTCCAAAGAGATATTATCAGTGAGATATTATGCAGACACGTTACACTTGTAATGAAAGCTGAGTTTAAGGATCGGTATACTCCGACCCATGAGTACTCTATACTTAAGTAATCATGCAATAATGTAGTACAGAGTATTCAGGGCTGGAAATGTCAGTATTCTGGCGTCACAGCGGGTGTGAGATAGTCTGCAGTTATTTATGGCTTAATTTGGTTGTCTGTGGCTTTTACCTCAGGGGGAAACATTTATCCAAACTTGTCTGTCTAGAACAATGCAGTTTGCCACTAACTAATGACTAATGTCTTCTTACATTTTTTTAGCATCAGACAAACTGCTGGGTGTGTGGAGAGAGATGGAGCAAACTGCTGTCAGCTGTGGTCAGGTAGATTTGACTTTTTCTCTCTGTGCATGTGTGCATAAAGAGTATTTATGTGTGTTTCAATAAGACTGAAACGTGTGGCTGTTTCTAGGTTAAGGTGAGTGAGTTGGAGGAGGAAATGATGCAGCTGCAGCCAGACATAGTGGATGTGCAGCGGCAGCCATGGAGGAGTGGAGAAGCCTTGGATACACTGTAAGTTTGAACCAAGCTTTATTGTAAAAAGAAATACATAAAAATAACAAAAGTGACTTCTCTGTGATCTTGTATCCTGCTCTCCTCCCCTCTTTGTTCCTCAGTGAAGGAAAAGCCATGGAGCTGTTCCGAAAACTCAGAGAGAAGCCCAGAGGTTTGGACTATTCATGCTTCAGTTCACTTTTTATTTAACAGTGGTCACAGCATCTCCTTGTGAAAATAAACCTCCTTTGACATTGTTTCAGTTTTCTTCCTTTTCCTTCCACAGACCAGAGGTGTTCAGGAGACAGTCAGGAGGTGGTGCGTCTAGTGGTTCAGGCTGTGCAGTTCTATGAGAAGAAGCTCAGAGATTTCTACACACACCTCAGGTAGTCAAACACATTTTTAAATCATTAAACAATATGCACTGGTGAGCTTTCATTTGGAAACTTTTGCTGTTAAACTCAAGATCCATTATTTGGTGTTGAAGAGCAAAGTTGGTATCAGTTTTCAAGGATACTTATCATCAGGCTGGGAAAACACAAAGGCATTCCCAAGCCAGCTGAGCAATATAATCTCTCCAGGGTGCTGTGGGTTTGGCCTGGGTTCCCCTCCTCGTGGGACATGCCCAGAACACCTCACCAAGGAGGCATCCTTGTCGGATGCCCGAAACACCACAACTGGCTCCTTCTGATGTGGAGGAGTGGTGGTTCTAGTCTGAGCCCCTTCCAGATGGCCGAACTCGTCACCCTATCCCTAAGGGAGAGGCCAGGCACTCTTCAGAGAAAGCTCATTTCCGCCCCTTGTATCCGCAATCTGGTTCCTTCGGTTACCTCGAGCTGACAACCCTAGTTGAGGGTAGGGATGTAGATTGACCAGAAAATCGAAAAGGCTTTGCTTTCACGCTTAGCTCTTACTTCACCACGATGTACCAATACAGTGTCCACATCACTCCAGCCAAAGCACCAATCTCCCACTCCTATTTTTTCCAAAAATATTCTGCATTACTTTACATAATCCCAACCATTGGTGGCTGTCAAACTGGACCCATGCAAAAGTACAGATGAAATAATGTTTAATGATGAATCAGTTCTGTGAAGCCTTCTGGTGCTATGGCAGTCACTATGTTTCCATGAAGCCCAACACTACGACCAGAATTCTAGCAGAATTAAAATGTTCCACAAACTCAGCTCAATGAGAAAAAATGATGTCAAAGTGATCAAAATTTACAGTTTATGAAAACTGGTTTCAAACCTTAAACCTTTTTATAAACCAATCAGAAGAATAACTGTTTCATGTGAGGAAAAACTGATTACACTCAAGCTGTTTTGCTTGTGCACATAAATGGGGATGTGTGCCAAGCGTGGCAGCTTCTCAGTTTAATTTGAATACAAACTCTCGTGTAATTAAAGAATCAACAGGAGCTCAGCAGTGACACCTACTGTGCTGAACAGCTGATACACATAAATATTTGGGGTATTAATCAAGCAAAAAGACAAATACACTACATATTCGTCATTTTCATGCATGCTCTATATTCCAGTTATATGTGTCAGCACGTTAGCTACACGGGTGCTTCACCTTCAAATTCTGTTTTTATGTGTTATGCAGTAAGACTGCACTGTGCCGCCAGCGTGTGATGGAGTTACTGCCAAAGGTGGAGGGCGTGGTCCAGAAAATGGCGGAAAGCGAACAAGTGCTGATGAGTCTGCAGGAGAGACGACAGAGGGAGCTGTGGAACCTGCTCAAAGTCGCCTGTGTGAGCAAAAATGACCTGTTCACAAACCCAAAGACACTTCCAATTCTGATCATAAGATAAGATAGACAAGATAACTCTTTATTGTCATTGCACAGTCATACATAGTACAGTAGTACAATGAAATTGGAAAACTGTCCTACGTCGGCACTACATATAACACAACACGACACGATATGACACATCACAACGCAACAAACAACACAACACAGTATATTAACTTAGTATAAAAAAGAAGAATAAGTGTATGTGTATTGCACACTGTTATTATTGCACATTAATTATTATTGCACCTTGTTATAAATATTATTATTGTTATTGTTTTAAACATTGTTACCTCCCCCCTAAAAAAAGTCCAGGGAGGTAGCCAGTCAGGTGAGCTATTTGCATTGATCAGGGCTATTGCCCTGTTGTAAAAGCTGTCCTTGAGTCTATTTGTTCGGGACCTCAGCAGCCTGAACCTCCTGCCAGACGGCAGCAGCTTAAACACCCGGTGTCCTGGGTGTGTGCAGTCCCGTAGGATGCTGCGTGCCCTCTTGAGACAGCGAGTGCTGTACAGGTCCTTCAGGGAGGGAAGAGGATGACCAATGATTTTTTGGGCCATGTTGATGACCCTCTGGAGTGCCTTTCTGTGTGCTGTGGTGCAGCTGGAGAACCACACACCGATGCAATATGTCAGCACACTTTCAATGGAGCAGCGGTAGAAGACGGTCAGCAGCTCCTTCTTCAGGTCCATTTTTCCGAGGATTCTCAGAAAGTGGAGACGCTGTTGGGCCTTCTTTAAGACCGCAGAGGTGTTAGAGCTCCATTGGAGGTCTGTGTCTATGTGCACACCCAGAAACTTGAAACTGGAGACCCTTTCCACACACTCCCCGTTGATGCTGACAGGCTGCAGCTCGGACTTCCTCCTTCTGAAGTCAACTACCAGTTCTTTTGTCTTGGTGGTATTGAGGTCCAGGTTGTTATCTGCACACCAATCTGACAGCCTCTGAACTTCAGCTCTGTACGCAGTCTCATCTCCCCCTGAGATGAGCCCCACCACGGTGGTATCATCTGCAAACTTGATGACTGTGTTGACTGGGTGGGAACTAACACAGTCATGTGTGTACAGAGTGTACAGTAGGGGACTCAGTACACTCACATACATATAGACTCATATACACTCACCAGCTGCTTCATTAGGTGCACTTTGCTAAAGCTGATTTAGAATTACATTTTGAGAAACACTGGAGATTTTGGTCCATGTTGACATGAAAGCGTCACACACGGAGTTGATGCAGATTTGTCAGCTCCTCATGATCCGTGATGTGAATCTGGAATTCTGAGATTTTATTATGTTCAGTAAATAAATTTGAAATGATTTGAGCTTTGTGATATGATGCATTATCCTGTCTGAAACAACATACTCAGGTAGACTGTGGCATTTAAACAATGCTCTGCTGATGCTGTGCCAAGATAATATCCCAACACCGTTACCCCACCAACAGCACCAGCAAGCCTGACACGTTCAAAGTTCCTTAAATCACCGTTCTTATTCATTCTGATGCTCAGTTTAAACTTCAGTAGGTTGTCTTACACAAGCCTAAATGCAATGAGTTGCTGCCGTGTGATTGGCTGCGACTTATTTATGTTAACGTCAGTTGAATAGTTGTACTTAACAAAGTAAGCACACAAAATACAATTTGCTTACAGTTGTAGCCAGTAGTATATGTGTAATTTCTGTCTACTGTGATTATCAAGAGTGTTACATTTACTTTATCAGCTAATATTGACTAAAGTCCATCATCTTGTCTTACATAGAGTAAAGTTCGCAGTCCAGTGAGTGGGAGTCCTGATGGATTACGTACCCCGTCGTCAGTACTGACTCCCAGACACAGCTTACAACAACTGTGAGTGCACTCTCTCTCTCTCTCACTCACACACACACACACACACACACACACGTGAGTACTGGGATGTGAGGGTAGGCGTCCATTCAGACCCTAAAATTAATGATTGTAATATTGTTGAGGTGGTGTAGGCTTACGTTTATTTTTACATGCCTATACATGATGACTAACCAAAAGAATTTTAAACTAATTATATATTGTGGGATTTTGTTTAAAGACAACTTTTCAGAACATCTCAGATAGCACAGACACATAACAGGAATCCTAACAAAGTCGTCAGAGGAATGCATGAATAACTTTGGGTGTGTTTGCAGTGATGAGTCTCTTGTGGAGGAGAGCAGGACATTTGAGAGCCGCCTTCAGAGTTTGCTGCACGACACCATCCAGGAATCTGAGAGCAGTATGGAGGTGTGCAAACAGATGCATAGCAGCTGCATGGAAGTGTTTTGTGATTATTATTTTTTTTATTTTTTTTATTGTTTAACTAAAACAATTGCCTTTTGTTTTTGTCCTAGATGCTGAGGGAGTGGACGTGGCTGCGTGGAGGCCAGGATTTCTCCAGTGACCTCTCATAAACTGAGTTTCCATCTTTGCAGATATGTAGTACTCTGCTGCCTCTGTGTGGATGGGCTGTCAAATTACACGTGGGATGTATGACGACAGTCTGAAGTGAACGTGTAGCAGTTTAAAAAAAAACAAAAAACAATCAGTAAGATCGCTAACACCTTATTGGCTTTGTGAAAAAGAATAATTAAATCTATGTTCAGGATTAATGTCAGAGAGATTAATTGGAGTGTCATCTTTCATCTTAAACAGAACATTCTGGCTGTAATTCCAGTAAAGATTAAAATCTTAATCTCATATTACATATTTGTACATTCCTATAGGCTTATGGTTTATGAAGCACCTTGCACAGTTCTGACTCAATATCTGCATACAGCATGATTATTGTAAATAATCTTTTGCTGGATTTGTAAGACGATCTCTTTCTTAGTTTAAGAACTAATTTTGTTTCATCGTGATTGTTGGTCTTTGGAAACCACAGATGTTATTCTTAACAAATGTGTGCCTTGAGCTGCGTGTTCATATCTGGAACACTACTTTTTATTGCAGGTTTTATTTGGTTTAAGGGTGTGATTTAGAATTGAAAAGAGGTCTGTTTTAACCGTTTGCTCAGTAACTGTATGAATGTGTTTTTAAACCCACTTATGAATGCATGGGGAAATGAGGAATATCTTCAATAAGAGGAACATGTATCAAATGCAGCACAGTCCAGTATGCCACGAATAACTGCAAGTGTTTTGTTTATACTGTTGAATTGTTTTGACATGCTGGGTATGGCAATATTTTATACATTTTTTTAATCATTACCTTGAAACAATGAAAAAGAAGTTAAATGTGTGAATTTATCAAAACTGTGAATTACCACAAAACTAACATATTACTCTGGTCTGGTGTTTTGGCCTCATCGCAATTGTTTCCACATTTTTCTTCTCGTTTTCAAATTAAGTCCAACAATTAAAGGTAGTACTGTAAAGATCACACAAGGTGATGCTTATTATCAAGTATCTCAGAATTATTTTGTGTACAGACTTTATGCTGTTAAGATTGTAAAAATGTCAAACAAAATTAAATCTTGACTCTGGTAAGCAGGTTTAATGTGACCTGGTGTTTTCTTTGCTTCATTTCCAAATAATTTGTTTGGACACGAGGACGCTGATGGCCTTGACTGTTTTATTGCGATTAAGAAAAATAATATACAGAATTAGTGCTTGTAGTACTCTGCCATCCCATGATTCATTAGGCTGTAGAACTTTTAGCAGCAATAATTTGTAACCTAGTAATGCAGGTATTCCATCTTACTTCCTTTAGTAATCTTTTTCTATACAATTGTCTCACTCACATTCTTGAGGAACTGAGGTTTGCAAAACATTTGTTTTTGCATAGATCTCTACTTTGACTCTTTTAAATCATTGTCTCCTTGAATGACTATTTCAGCCAAGCTTTGGCTCTCAGAGGTTCTCACGTGTGATTCTGGAATACTTTGTTAGACACAGGTTTATTCAACTTGACTGCAAGGTTCCCAGATCCTGTGGCTGCACCTCAAGCTCAATTCATCACCCTCCAACCACTGTGCTCGACAGTTATGAGGCGTTTGTGTTGATATGTTGCGTTTCGTTTTCCCCAAATGTAGTGTTGTGGGCAAACATCTCCACTTTGGTCTTACTGGTCCAAAGGATATTGTTCTAGGAGTCTTGTGGTCTGTTCTGAAGTCACTTTGCAAACTTATGTGCCACCAAGAGCAGAGGATCTGTCCTGGCAGGGGTGGTCAAACTTGCTGATGATCAGTTAATCATGTGCAGTTAATTACCAGCACTTTCACATGACTAACATCAGTAGGGTGGGGGGGAAAAAAAAAAAAAGAAGCCAAAACCCACTAAAAATCTGTTTTAAAGTCTTTATTTCATTCAATAAAGCCAGTTTGAGGTCCTAACTGATGGCTAACTTCCTATACAAAGCACAGCACAGGTAAAGTGAAATGTAGTGCTCAAGGTTTAACAGTTACAGGACATAAAACATGACAAAACAAAGAGGTCATAGAGAGATCCTAATTTTTTGACCAAACAAAACCTGAAAACAAAACTTTTAGGTAACCAAGGGCTCACAGTGTTTAACTGTTTTATTTAGGTGGAAACAAAAGCAGTCCACTCAGACACATGACCCGTTTTTTCCTGCTTATTTCTCTCTAGCCTCAATTGCATCAGTTGTAAATATGACAATGAAAAGTCTAAAATAAAAAAATTAAATTAAATTAAAAAAAAAAAAAAAAACCTTAGCATTTAAAGCGTGCAACAAAACTACAATATACCAAAACAAGCACCCTCTAACAATCTCACTGATGTCTAAATCCCAGAGTACCTGAACAAAACCTGCCTGAATAACACAGAATGACAGGGTGCTTCAGACACATGCTATTAAAAGTGCACTTTGTCTGGCCAAAGCAGCCAAGAAGTAGCACAGTATTTAGAGAATGGGGTATTTGAATAAACTGGCTGCGAGACTGTATGCAGTACTCTGGTAATATATGCTAAAAACTGATGTGTGGGTCATGTCAATAACACTGTGAAATCCTTGCTTTAGAATTACAGTACTAGAGGTCTTAGAGGCTGTTTGGAGTTTCAGGGTTAAGGCCAAAGTGTGTGTGTGTGTCTCAGAGGGAAGATTTGTTGATGCGTTGCTGAGTGGGGCCATAGTGGTGTAGTCTTCTCCTTTGTTTGCTTTCCTCTCCTCTTGCCAGTCCTGTTCAATCCTTACGCCTCCAGCTCGAAACCGAGGCCGATTTTGTGTCCACCGGCGTTCACGTTCTTCCCGTCGATCAGAGCAGAGAGGGTGAGCTTCACTCCTGCAGGAAAGAGCGTCACATTGTATCATGTAACCATACAGATGCTCTTTAGGCTGTTATCACAGAATACATGTCTTTGGATGTTTTTTTTTTTTTTTTTAAGAAGTCAAACAGCTAACCTGGCCTGAGTGTTTGTGTGTATCCAACTCCAACGAGACAGGCGTTGTTAACCTTGGCCTGTGAGGAGAAACAGATCATCAGGTGAGTTAGTCATAAACACTGCATTAGGAGAGTAGATGGAGTAGGTTACATAATATGGAGTTTATCATAAATATGAATATCAATCAGCCTCAGGCAACCGTTGCAGAGAAGTAAGATAATGATGTTTGAGAAGCACACAGCTGTAGGGATGACTCAGTAGGCAGCTGGTTCCACATTCAAATATTTGAACAACTATTGGATGGATGCTCATAAAAAGAATGGTATCCAGTGACTTCCTCCAGCATGCATTTTAGAGTTGTATAAATCTCTTGATGATTCTGGGACGGGTTAAAACACGTTTATCCTTTTTGTCATTGAACTTTTTTGGTAAAAAATAAGTATGGATCGTAATTTTTTTTTTTGTTAATTGTAACTTATTAACAACAATATAAACATTTTTTGTGAGCCTGGTGTGATCAACCAACAGATGAAGACTTTAAGCGGTACCCCTTTGCTCACAGAAAAGCAAGGATGCAGTAAATAAATAAATAAATGCATTTAGGTAAATCCATGAGTTAATTAATGCTAATAAAAATCTGTTCAGTGGTCTTTGTGATTATCAAAATATCTGAAGTCTAGCAGGAGGTATCTTTAGAGCATTCACATTTTGCTTAATCATATCCCTATTCCCTAAAAAATCCCTTATTTTATTGTCAAATATCATTTATTTCAACTCAGCTTAATGAGTTTGCTTCTTAACTCATTATTTACATAGTCCACCCAATGCTTATATAATAAATACAATTTTATTTGCATAGCACCTTTCAAGATTTAAAAAGGGATCACAAAAAGCTTCAGACCTTCTCAGACCACTAAGTCCACAGATCTCAAGCTCAAAGGAGAGAGTTCCAGAGTATGGACACCACCGTTACAAAAGCTCTGTCACCTTTTGTTTTCAGCCTCATATGCTTACTACCCAATATTATTGTGCCAAAACAGTAACTACCATAGTGGGCATACTGCAACACATGCATGCATAAATTTTCTTAGCTGCTGGAGCATATCACAGCTGTCACTGAGCACATGGCAGAGTACAACCAGTCTGCAGGGCCAACGCAGAAACAGACAACCACTTACACCTTCAGCCAATTTAGCAACACCAACTAAACTAACATGCATGTCTTTGGACTGTCGAAGGAAGCTGGAATATCCAGAGACAACGCATGCACAGACATAAATAACAGGGAATCTCAACACAGAACCTCCCAAGCTAGACAGCAGATTTGAACCCACAACCTTTTTGTTATGCAGATCTAACCAGTGCAGCACTGTGCCACCCCTGAGTACAGTTGTACATTTAACTCAAACCTCCAGCAGAGTCCCACAAAAGTTATAGCGTGATTAGCTAGCAGTGAAAATGTATAATTTATTTATGTATGTTAGCATGTTAGACGTGTGCAGGATGTTTTGTCAGTTCTCACAGAGAGGGATGCATCCTTATCCAGCTGGTATTTGGCTCCAAGTCCAAAGCGCGTGTTATTGCTGCCTGCTGTCCAGGCTAGGTTGACTGCTGTTTCCAGGTTGCTGTTCACCTTTTGGTAAATGGAGCCACCGAACTCCGTGCCATCATTACTGAAATACAATACCAAACACAATTTAAGAACTGAGGGGAAAAAACAAAAACAACAAAACCCCTAAACTTTGTGCTATGCTGTAGTGACTCACACGCTGGTATGAAGTTGGAAGTCACCAGTCTTGTATCCAAGGGCAAAGTTGTTCTTGACGAGTTTAGATTTGGCAGTGTCGAAAGCCATCTGGTAACCAGCCAGCCAGCCCTCGAAGCCAAGCACAGCCGCTGTGTGGACAGTGGGGCCGGCCATGTCGAAGTCCAGGTCACAGCCCACATTCACAAAGTCCCGCTTGTAGCTGGTCTTCAGTTTGGCACTCTTCTTGCTAAAGATCGTAATTATTAGACACATGTCGTATTGAGAACATTTATTAAAAACCCTGAGAACAACAGAGCGTTACTCTTACCCAGTGTTCGGCACAAATGACGTGTCCAGACCGAGCTTCAGGCCGTTGGCCAGCTACAGACAGACAGAAGACTTAATATATTAAGTACTGAAGTATTAGCCACCACATATTATTAAACCTTTCCTTATTTTCTGTCATACGTATATGTTTTAAAGAGGTAGGTACTTATCACCATCATCCAAACACTCAAAACTATGTTTTTTTTCCTACTCTTTGATGTCAATGAGAGCAGATGTCTATAATATTATCATCACAGACACAAAGCTTTAATCGTGAGCCACACACTTGCTATCCAAATTTCTTGTCATGAGGAGCAACCCATCAGTAATAATAATATTATTTTTTCTTAAAAAATAAAAATATAATTCTGGCAGCTCAGCCTCCCAGTAGATGCACCTATGGTATGGATTTCAAAATTTGCCTAGTTCTTAAGATATCACATTCACAATATTTTCAGAAAACATGACCTCTGACCTCTAACCTTGAGGCAGAGGTCAATGAGATTTAAACACATCTGAGGTTTTTAGTAGATACACCAATGCTATTTTGCCCCCCCCCCAATAAATAAATTTCCTTTTTGTTTGACTTCACCTGGTCCTCCAACGTGATTTCTGTTGTAAGAGTGTTGTCAGTGTTCCACTTCTGGTTGAAGGTGAGCCCCAGATCTTTCATTTTGTACTTTGTCTCCAGGTGGCCTCCAGACCTCCCTGTATCTGTGTTGTTGGAGCCAGAAGTGGTGAACTCCTGTAGGAGAGATGGATCGAGTAATGAGGGGAAGATGGAAGATGAGGTGGAAGGGAAAGTAGAAAGAGACATCAGAGCACAGCTAAAGACACTAGAGGCCGGGGGGGGGAAACGGAGACAGGGATAACAAGCATTACGTTTTTGGCTTTTCGTCTGCCAAACAATCCCTCACAGGGTTGCATGACTGGTTATTCAAATAAATAAATAAATAAAAATCTAGACCTTTAAGATGGAGAAGTGAGCTGGGAAGGTAAACTGAGGACTGTGAGGGAGAGGCTGGTCATGAGTGTTTAACGATCAGTGCTATTACAGCTGCGGTTGGGGTAATGCTGTCACTTAGGTGAGCCGTTACTGCAAAGAAATAGTTGGCAGAAAGCCTGCACACAAACACACACTGCTATCACTCTTGCACCCTGCAGTGCACCTGTGTTTAATGATTACATATGCACACACACTCACTCTCCCACTCTTACCATCTGACAGGAGCATCCAAAGAAGAAGCAGAGAAAAGAGAAAACAGAGGAAGTTAGGGAAAACCACAGTCTACATGTGACAGTTTGACTGCTTGCTGGGAAAATGAAAACCAGAGCTACAAAAAGTAAAAGTGGATGTCTTTTCAGTGCTTTTTGAGTGAGGCTTAAAGCTGGATCAGATTTGGAAAACTATGCAAGAGCTCATTTGTGGTTTTACTATGGTAACCGGTTTATGGCAACACAGATACATGGCACGTTTTGGTGAAACTCTTTCCCTTCGTGACAGAACATGCTGCTTCAGAGGAGAAAGTAAGGAATAAACTCATTCGACAGAGTGTTTCTCTGCTGACTCTGTATGTAGAGGCACGTCAGGCACTCTGACATGAAGACCTCCAAAGCCGTGAGTCAGACCTTTGCTCTACATCTAAGTGCTTAGAAAGACGTTTGAAACTAAATTTAAACGCATCCAGTGACAACAGTAATACTTACAACTCCACTTTGAGACTTGGTCTTAACATCTAGCTTCAATATTCCATAGCCTGTGGAAAAGAAATTAGGATATTTAAAAAAAACAAAACAAAAAAACCCCCATATATATTACAAGGAAGGGCAGTAAAAATAATCTCTTTGCACTGGCCAGAAGAACAATAGACACCTGCAGCACAGAGCACACAAAGCATTCTCTGAAAATCAGTCCTGCACCATAGTTTGAGCCCAAACAGCTTCAGTATGATAGCAACAGAAGAGCAGCAGTTACATATGCATGTTAAGTAGATTTCTTCACTTACCGAAGCCTTTACTGAAGATGTCTTTGGCAGATTTCCCCAGATCCGAGTATGCAGGAGGGACAGCCATTGTGCCTGAGGAAAGAAATGTACCAATAGTTTAATCACAGCAGTGACACACATACACCCACACATGTGCACTTTTTATGTAAAGAGATATTCCAGCAATTTAGAAATACACTTTTACAACACTGGTGAAATTGCAAGATTTAAAAGTCTGTCCAGCAGAGCACTAAATATGCACATTTCCAGCTTT